ATCTGGTCTATGATGTCAAAAAAGTAGACAATGCCATGCTCTTTGGGATGCCCAGCTGATCCAAGTTTCTTTGGAATATGTTGAGGGTGGGAGGACTCTAATCTAACCTTAGGGCAAGATTGAAATGTACTTCGACCATTCCATATTAATGCAAAACCTTCCTGATTCTCTGATTGGAATAGAAAAATCATTTGCCAAATAAATTAGCAGCTGAATACCATATGACAGAAGCTGTTCTTAATCTGCTCTTGCAAAACTGCATTATCTGGCTAAGCTGCTAAATAGGAGCTATTATTCGGTTGAGTTTGCAGTAGACTGCCATCTTCTGAGTCTGGTTTCTGCAGGGACTAGATCAGTATGTGAAAATGGGAGGTGTAATAAAGGCTATATTTACCTGCATCTTTAATTTCTTCCATTCTCTCTCCATCCCCCCCCCCCCCCCAAGAATGAAATGTTGGTTTTATTTCCTATCCTACTGAGAAGAGGGCAGTTTTAAGCGCTTCTCTTTGGTCTTCCCCACTGTACTAGATTGAATAGTGTGCCCTTCCCCTCAAAATTCATGTTTTCTGAGACTTGTATTTCTAAATAGCGTCTTTGCAGATGTAACTAGTTAAGATGAGGTCATATTGGAATAGGAGGAGCTCTCAATCTGAAACGACTGGGTGTTCTTAGAAGACAACATACACCAAGACAGATTCACAAGGAAGATGGCCATGTGACAAAATCAGAGTTAAGCAACTGCTAGCTAGGGAACTCCAAGGATTTCTGGCAACTACCATAAGTGACAGAACGGATTCTGCCTCTGAGCCCCCCCACCCCCGCCCCGAGAAGGATCCAAGACTTTGTGGACTTCTGGCCTCTATAACTGTGAGAATAAAATCTGTTATTTTAAGCCACTTAATTTGTGGCACTTTGTTATGGCAGCCTTAGGAAACAAACATACTTGTTATAATAGTTCTCTAACATAAAAGGCCACCTGAACAGCTGTCAGCTAACTCTTTGAAGATAGATCCAGATTTTATTCTCATATTAGCATTTAGTTTACTTCCTAGATAGTCCGTGATCCGTTTTGATCATTAAATGAGCAACCTAACCACCATCCATGTCTTAATCTCCAGTTATCAAGAGGTAAACTTGGGTGACCTTAAATGGCTCTTTCATTGGTAAATATGTAGAGATGGTGAAAAAATTATTTCAAATTATTGTATGGACTTTTTGGAATCCTGCTTTTTTAAAGATTTTATTTATTCATGACAGAGAGAGAGAGAGAGAGAGAGAGAGAGGCAGAGACACAGGCAGAGGGAGAAGCAGGCTCCATGCAGGATGTGAGCCCAATGTGGGACTCGATACTAGGTCTCTAGGATCACACCCCAGGCTGAAAGCAGCACTAAACCGCTGGGCCACCAGGGCTTGCCCTGGAATCCTGTATTTATGCATGTGTGGGAGTAAGCCTTCTAATCATGTAGTTTTGTCATGTCCATTTTTAAGATGCTTGAAATTAAGTTTATTTGCTTAATTTAAAAAGGTGATTAATTAGATTTGCAAGCATATTATAGGTTCCTGGGAAGAATTTGTCCATTAAATTTAAAATCTTGTCTAAGTGTTTGGAAGAATCAAAGCTATCCAAAAATCCTAAGGAAATCGATAAATATGTAAGTAGTGTTAAGTATTTGGGAATAATTTAATCTATAAACATAACAAAATATAAGTGAAGTGGTTGTTTTATATTTTCACAAAATAGAACTGACAAAAAAAAGAACTGACATAAAAAGGTCTACAAGAATAGCGTTTCAGCTTAAAATATAAATGTGAATTAAAGCACAAGTAATTTTCAATGTTCCCTCTGCACTTGAAAACTCCCAACAGATACTAAGAAATGATTACTAACAATTATTAGTGCCAGGTTTTTCCATTTTTAATGAGCCACTCGTTATTCATTTATCAACACTAAATAACAAAAAACTTCATTTTAATATACAAAATGAAAGGTTTATCCTAAATTTTCAGTTCTTAAAGCTTATTACTAATAATATAGTATTTATTTTTCTTAAAGAGTAGCATTGAGAATTTACTTACATATAACACATTATGAATAAAAATAAGTAAATTTTGACCTTACAAGAATAGCTGATATAAAAATTATTTACCTGAGAATAAATTCTTTCATTGTATATAATATGTTCTTTCAGGAGAGAAAATGAAAAATGGATGTTAGCCATATTAAAAATATATTAAGGATAAGCATTCCTATTTTTCAAAAGTCAGTGCCTATTTATGTGTTACATGAAAATACAGATGAAAATACAGTTTCATCAAACTCATAGTACAATCAGAATGAAATGCATGACCAATAGAACAATAAAAACAAGGACAACACTTACCCTAAATAGAATTAATTGTGCACCAATAAAAGTGTTAGTACCACTAGCAAAGCATTTGTGCTATTATAGTTACATAAGTGTTGATCTTCCTCCTGCAAGTGAGATCTCACAGGGCCAAAATGGATAGTTATCTTTCTATCCAAAAAACTCACTGCTTGAAAGATCATCACTCAAAATGGTCTGTTGCATTAAATTACTCTAAAAATATTTTAACAATTAACCTCAAAGTAATTGCCAATTTACAAAAGAAATGTTTTTAAAGAAAACCTACAGCCTTTTGTTCTCTACTGATAACAAACTCAAAAAAAAAAAAAGAGCAAAGTGAAATGTATATTCATCATCATGTTTTCATGGTTACCATCTGCTTGGATCCCAACAGCTGCAGACAGAGGTTTGCTTTAAAGTCAGTAACCAGAGTCACTGAGTAAAGTCCAGGCTTTACTCTGAAAATTTGATCGTAGATGGAAAATATAAACTAGGTGATGCTGTTTTTTTCCAACCTTTGCCTAATGTATGTATTTATATTTATTGTTGGTATAGAAAAAAATTTAAGATTGAGAATTTAAGACATTTTGAAATAAAATGTGTTCAAAAACATGAACTATCCACTGTAAATAAAGATAAACTTCCTTTTGGACTGTATTCTTTTCTTCACTCACCCTTGCTTTCCTAAGTATTAAATTTTACTTTCCAATTTAAATAAAAACTCTAAAGAAATTATACTTCTGAATAGGAAAGATTTTACTACTGTGAAAAAGGGAATATTCCTACATATAATTTAATTCATGATGAAAAATATATTCACTCTATGTAAAAACAAAAAAAATTAAAGTCTTTTTTAAAAAAAAGCTTATAAGAGCACAATAATAAAATAACTGAACATAATGGATAAGAACCCAACTGCAACTACTCAGCACAACCTCAACTTTGACTTTCCTTTTCGTTGGTCACACAATCACAGATGCACAGTGAATGTGGCAAGTCAATGTGCAGGAGCAGGTAATGTTCTCAGTCAGCTACGTGCTATTTAAAAGAACACATTTTCCTCAGTGTGGTCAGGTCCTAAGAAACTACCTTTTCAGTGACTGTTCTAGTGAATTAGGGATTGCTTTGTTTCTTAAACTGAGTTTAAGTGCTCCAGGCAATACAGGACTATAAAAATATACGCTAAAAAAGAGGCCCCTGGGTATTTATATGAATACTAGTTACTGAAAGGTATCTCTTTAAATTTACGGCACCATTTAGCTGTGACTTGCTTTAGAAAATGCACAATGCTATTTAATTACCTACAAAGGTAAAGATTTTTTTTTCAAATGTGTCTTGAGTTGTATTTATTAGGCAGTACTAAAAGTTCAGTGAAAGTTACAACTTTTACTTAAGATGTAAAAGTGAGATTCTCAGGTGAAGAATCCAAAAGCTTGGTATCATGAGGTAAGTGGCTGTCAGCTGCTGATCGAACATGAAAAACTAGTGCCAATTAAATCTTAAAAGGAGAAATACCTTAGCAGTGGGTTGTAAAATCCAAGCAAAGACTGTAGACAGTTCAGTTAGACTAGTGACAGATTAGAGCAGATAATCTCTGACAAGTCATCAGAGGTAGCTGGAAAGGTAGGTATCTTTAGAAATATATGTAAGTTGCCAAAACAATGGGGAAGTATTAGTCATAGACCTTGGGCTGAGAAAGAACTGCTAGAGCCTAAAATGACAGATGCCTTATAGTGTAGTGTTAAAAGTTCACTAAGTTTCCCTAAGTTAAAGAGTTAATAGTGGGGATCCCTGGGTGGCGCAGCGGTTTGGCGCCTGCCTTTGGCCCAGGGCGCGATCCTGGAGACCCGGGATCGAATCCCACGTCAGGCTCCCGGTGCATGGAGCCTGCTTCTCCCTCTGCCTATGTCTCTGCCTCTCTCTCTGTGTGTGTGACTATCATAAATAAATAAAAATTAAAAAAAAGAGTTAATAGTATTTCAGTAAAGGATTTGGGTATTTAAAATAACTCAGTACCAAAAAAAAAAAAAAAGAGGGATCCCTGGGTGGCGCAGCGGTTTGGCGCCTGCCTTTGGCCCAGGGCGCGATCCTGGAGACCCGGGACTGAATCCCACATCAGGCTCCCGGTGCATGGAGCCTGCTTCTCCCTCTGCCTGTGTCTCTGCCTCTCTCTCTGTGACTATCATAAATTAAAAAAAAAAAAAAATTAAAATAACTCCGTACCAAATTCTTCCGTTCCTTTTTTTTTTTAAACTCTTTATACTGTAATTCTCACACTCCCAACATATTTGTCTTTGCAAGTTGATACTTCCATTCATCCGGTGGAAATACAATGTCAGCTAGTATTATTTATACTACATTATACCTATAGTCCATACACATGGGCTCTACCAGGAAATATTTCCAAGATTACATTAACCATAACCTTACTTCAATTCTGACAGAGCAAAATTCTGGTTTCTCATTAAAGTGAATTATGTATAGTTTTCTTCTAATCCTTAAATCCCAAAGGTTTATTTATCTCCTGCCATGTGCCACAGTGAATTTGAAGTGAGTTACTAATTAACCTAGACAGATATACTTAAAACTCTATAAAGGAGATATTCAAATAATAAAGTTTACGAACGAAAATGATTACCCAACAAATTATTTTATTCTGTAATAAAATATAATGTGCCCTTTGGGAGAAAGATGACAAAAAAAATTTATATATTCCATGAAGTGTACAGGAAAGCATATGGTCGATTCTTCCAACTGTGTAGATGATGTCATTCTAACCGCAATCAGGCTATTACATAGTAAGACTAGAGAAAGTCTTCCTTTAATTATAATTAAAACACCTGTGAATTTTATCATGAGCAGAAGAAATGTTTCTTCAACGACCTAAATCATCTATGTCTAACATCACCTAATAGAACAAGGTCTCATTTCATTTATTATGATGAATGAGTGCCACCTAGCGGATGTCACCTCTTGCAAACCTCTATCTGCACGGGACTACTTAGTGTTTACTGCTCTCTGGGATGTCAACTTCCACTCAAAGTTTAGAAATTAAAAAAGAGAAGCAAGAAATTTTTGCTTTATATTTCTTGTCTATGTATTGTTTATGTATTAGGCTTTTTAAATTTAGACTGAGATATCACATACTCAAGTAACAAGATGGTATAAATTTAAAAATAAAGATAACCATTAAAAATAAAACTATTGTCACTATTTCTTTAAATCGTAAATTTAAAAGCACTATTTTTGAAAGGTAAAAAAGTAAATATTCGACCTCACATACAGACTGCAGTTCAATATGCTTCATGTACAAACATGCAGTTTCAATTATTTATACACAAGTGTTATTTAAAGAAAAGCAAAACATACAACCACAGCATTTCAATCAAGGAGCTTAGGAAAATCCCAAATGCTTTCTTGGTTCTTCAGTTACCATTCAAATAATGTATCTTTAAACCAAAGTCAAAGTAAAAAAAATAAGTTCAGTAAGCAGATTGAACTGTACATATTCAAAACACCACTCTGTCTTCCTGTGTTCTTTCCCACCAAAGTGTGCTGTTTAAAGTTCCACAACTGCTATCTTCTTCCTCTTGTTCTTTAGTGAGTTCTACGAAAACCTAATGAAAGTAAATAAGTGAATATAGTATTCTGTATTGCAATGATCTCGAAAAATTTTTAATTACATCAGACACAGTGTAAGGCTACATCTAAGTACATTAACCATTCAAGTATTAAGAGATATACTGGCATTAATATTATTTAAACAGATCCTTTAAATCACATACAAAGATGGATGTTATAAGGACTAAGATTGTTTTCTGATTAATATATGTTAAGTAGCACTGTCATAAAAAATAATTTATAAATATTTAAGCAATGTAACTTAGATATATGAAATAATATTAACAACCTTCATTTTCTTTACTAAATAAACAATAATGAACTTTTCCAAACAAATAGATGGAAAGTTTAAAGGTTTTTTAAAATTATACAAAATTTAGGTGTATTGTACAGCAATCTGTCTCTGGTTCACAAACACCCTCTCTCTCCAATATAAATCTAAACAACTGAGGGTGCCTGGTTGGCTCAGTTAGTCAAGCTTCCAACTCTTGGTTTCAGCTCAGGTCATGATCTCAGTGTCAAGAGATTGAGCCCTGCATGGGACCCTGAGCTCAGCGGGGAGTCTACTTCCCTCTCCATCTTGTTCTGCACCTCCCCTAACCCGGACACATTCTGTCTCTCTCTCTCTCTCTCTCAAATAAATAAATCTTTAAAAATAAATAATTAAGTCTAAACAATTAGATATCAGACATTTTCTTCTATAAAAGAATTTTTAAAAATTGAACTTTATAGTACCTGTTCCAACGTTGCTTGAGAAAAGCTATATTCTTCAATGGCAAAAGTATGTTTAGCTATTAAAATATGAAAACAGTATTTTACTTATTAGTATTTATAAAGAATAAAAATGGCAGTAACTACTAAATAGCTAACGATCTGTTTTTTAAAAAAAAAAAAACACTTCTGTAATCAGTCATTTAAATTTGAAGCTGCCAAAACATGTTACTTTCCTCTATCTTGGTCCCCTTGTCTCCCTCAGGATCACCACTCTTCTGCAGCCGAGATACCACACCTGCAATGTTACTTGCCTCACCTCGTCTTTGCGGAGCTTCTCCTGTTTACCCTCCTCTGTCTTCCTTACTATGCCTTTTCTCATAACTTCTTTGGCTTCCTACTCTATGTCCCATTGCCCAATTTCCAATACAGCCTGGTCTGAATTTCTTGCACTAGATTCTGGATATAATTTCTATGTCCATATGCTTTTTTTGTATTTATTTTAGATCCTTTAACAATCTAATCTAACACCAAATTTTCTGCCTTTTTATTGATTCCTGTAGTGAAATTCTCCTCAAGCAGCATTAGGTTGTTTAATAGTTTATAAATTCCATAAAACAGCTTGTATATGAATATCTGTTCCATACAGGAGCTTACCTCTCTCCACTTGCTACCAGGTATCTTTATCCTGCCAACCATTTATTTTAAAAAATGCCAAGTTTCAATAAGCTGCTTTAAGCTTTTAGGAATGTCTACATTCCTAACCCATGAAATCTCCTCTTCTCTCTTCTGCTGCCACTGAAATCTTGCCACCATCACTACTTCTAGGGCCTGATACAAAGTGAGGATTCTGGAAACTCAATGTTCTCATTTCTGGAATGAACCACGAGTGCTAAATAAACTGAACTTTCTCAATAGATGCAATGTGAAAAACCATGGTGATGTCTACTAAAATAGTAAAAGGTTTACACTGCAATATAGCTCACCTACCAAACCCCTACAATGTTAGTATTTACCTCTATCTTACGTTAAATTAATAAAAGGTTATCTTTTTACTTATAATGGTTCCCACAAAAAACAGTCTCAATTTCTAAACTTAAAAAAAAAATCTTTTATAAATTGAAAGCTACCTAACGATGTTTTTCAAATCTTACCTTCTTCAAGCTTAGAAAAAGACTGTGAAAGGGATGGAACATCTTCCTTAGGAATCTTATAAGCCAAAATAGAAGAAAAACTGGAAACAGATAAAATATAAAAAAATTAAAAAATGACTAGTATGTTCTAAAGCTAAAGTTCAAACTTTTTAAAGTTCAAAATCATACTCCAACAACTTATTTTGATACATATTTACAAAACAATTGTTTTGTCTTAAAATATTTCCATATAAAACAACTCTCAATACTACTGATACGTGAACTTTAAAAAAGTTTAAATACTATTGAATATTACAAGATCTACATTAAGTCAGATATAAAACTCCAGTCATTGGGCCATATTAGTCCGACACTGGTAATATTAACAGACTTTTTTTTCTAATCCCTAATAGCCAAATTTTATTATTCCTCTACAAAAAAAATATTAATAAGTTTTTAAAATCTTTACCTCTCCTGACGGATTGCATTTGGGAAAATATACTGAATTTCTCTTTGAAGACGGTCTACTTCTAGGTTTTCTATCCAGTCCTTTAACTTTATTTCCAAAAAGTAGCCTTTTCCAAATTTACTCTTCAGATGCTGGACGGTCCCGATACATCTGTAGTGATTTTTAAAAGAAAGCTCAGACATAAAATGACTTGACAGTTTCAAAGAATGATTTTTCAAAGGATGATTTAAATTAAATGTTTGATGGAATACTTTTAAATATATAGAGAAGTTGCAAATATAATACAGAGAGTGTCCATATACCCCTCACCCGGTTTCAGTTTCCGTAATATTGTCTTATATTGCCGTGGCACATTTGTCAAAATTAAGAAACCAACATTAGTGTATTACTATTAACTTTATATTTGACTTTATTGGGATTTCACCAGTTTTTCCACTAATGTCCTTTCTGTGTTCCAGGATCTGTCCAGGATACACACTGCACATAACTGTCATGTCTCTGTAGTCCCCACTGGTCTGTGACAGTTTCTTACTCTTTCCTTCTTTTCTGCCTTTGACAATTTTAGAAACTGGGCAAGTGTTTTGGTAGAAGGTCTCTCAATTTGGAGTAGTCTGACAGTTTTCCCATAAGTAGACTGGGATGAAGGGTTTTGGAGAAAATGCCACAAAGATTAAGTACCTTTCCTATCACATGCTATCAGGGCTACATGATATCCACATGACATTGCTCTGCTGTGATGTTATTATCACCTTCTTTCCACACACTAAGAAGAGACTGGCAAATTCAGACTCAAACCTAGGAGGTGGAGGATTACCCTCTCCTCTTAGAGGGAGCAGTATTTATATAACCTGTCTGGGAGTCTTTCTGTAAGGAAAATTTGTTCTCCTCCTATGTTTATTTTATTTATTCAGCCACTTATTTATAGGAGTATGAACTTGAATTACGAATATACTTATTTTATACTTTGGATTACAACCCAATACAATGCTTAATAATTTTTTAAAATAACAAATATCATGAATGGAAAACATTCCAAATTGTTGAATTACTAAGCCAATTACAAAGTAGCTAGCCATTTTTTAGAAATTAACATATTTCCAAGTAATTCTACAGAAAGCTAACATTTAGAAACTCAAGTAAGGGGCTCTCCTGTGTGGCTCAGTTAAGCGGCTGCCTTTGGCTCAGGTCATGATCCCAGGGTCCTGGGATCAAGTCCTGCATTGGGCTCTCTGATCAGCCAAGGAGTCTGTTTGTCCGTCTGCCCCTCCCCTCTGCTTGTGCTCTCTAACACTTGCTCTCTTTCTCTCTAATCAATAAAAAAATAAAATCAAAAACTCAAGTAAGGGTATCTTTTTTAACATTTAAATTTATAATTTTAAGTTTTTGAAATGATTATTCAAAATCCACTGTCACCCTACCCACCCATCCAAACAGCAAAGCGTTCATCAGACATTTACCTTAACTGCCCAGATACCATGATAGCCACTCGGTCACAAACAGCCTCTGCTTCCTCCATATAATGAGTGGTCAGAATAGCAGCCCGTTTTTTGTTTTTAAATGCAGTTCGAATTGCTCGCCTATAAAACATAAGTAAAATAAACAGAGTAAAGCATCTGAATCTTAATGAAAATCCAAGTATTTGACTAGTTAGGTTAATTAAAATCTATCAAATTTCAATTGCTATAGTTATTGTATACTGCCCAATTATGAGTCTTCTAACTTATTTTTCCTTATTTTTGAAAGTTTATCAAACAGAAATTCCATGATTTCAAATGTTTCTATGCATTAAAAAATAAATTATAAAATTTTATGCTTTCTCATGTTGTAACTAAAATAGCCATGAAATCATAGGGAAAACTTAATATACTTTTGTACCAAACTCCGCATGTTATAGACATGGAAATGTAGGCTCAAAGAGTTTAACAACTAACCGGCTACCTCCATGAATCCCTAGGCAGTCCAACATAAACTCAAGCTAATGTTAATATAAGAATTATAATTTATATGTTAAATGACTAGGAAAAAATCTTTTAAAAGCTATTCAGACAGGAATACTCTGTATTTTAATAATTACCCAAATATTTATTTTTATTCTGGAATAAATGAAGTATTAATATTTCATGAAAGTATGAAGTATGATAAAGTTTAAAAGTTTATTGGGTGGCTCAGTTGATTAAGTGTCTGCCTCTAGCTCCGGTAATGATCCTGGGGTCCTGGGATTGAGCCCCATGTGTGGCTCCCTGCTCAGTGGGGAACCTGCTTCTCCCTCTCCCTCTGACTCTCCCCCATCTGTTGCCTGTGCTCTCTCAAATAAACAAATAAAATCTTAAAAATAAATAAATTAAAATAATTAAATAAATAAAATAAAAGCTTATGGGATTCTCCAGAAATAAAAATATTTAATTTTTAATTACTATTTTGTCATTTGTGTAAGATTTTAAATCAATATGTAAATATAGCTAATATAAAAACAAATAGTTTATTAGTTATAATAAAACAAACTATTCTTAAATATGATATACCATAACATGTCTCAAGTGTCTTAAATGTCATACTCACCACATGTGCTGTTTGGCTTTAGGATCCATACCTGTAGATGGTTCATCTAGGAGGGTAATGTGAGGATTCCCCAACATACTCAGGGCAAAACATAACTAGATAAAAAGAAAACAGGGGGAGAGGACTAATAAGGCTTCACATAAGAAATTTTATCAAGACAGTATCAGGCTCTAAACTATGAATAAGACCCACATTTATCTGTTGTTTAATAAAAGTACCTTTCGTTTGATTCCTGCAGGTAGTTTCTTGATAGTTTTCTGAAGATGTTCTTTTAAATCAAGTGCACTTGTTATCCTGCAAAACAGGTAACACAAAGGGATTGTATTATTATCACTGTTTGTGATCATTGACAGTCTTTTTTCTAGAACACTCAGTTGAAGCTTACTATATAATTAGACCTCTGATTTATATAATTTTAAATTGCTATCTTGATAAAAAGGTTCACTTTATGTTTGACATTTATAGGTATGTTCATTCTATATTAAATAGAAAAATTACATTTTTATAACTATCATAATTCTGTAAAGAATATATGAAAAAGTAATGACCATTTTCTATGAAAAGTATGATCCACAAAAAATGCTTTTAAAAATTAAACTTTTAAAATGTGAAATGTAAACCTTTTTTCAGGTAATAAAAAGTTTCCAATTTTACCGATTTATGACTTCTTTCATGTCACTTGCACTCATTCCTTTCACAGCTCCATATATTTCAAAATGTTCCCGCAATGTAATATCTGGCCACAGCGGGTTTATCTGAGGACAGTATCCCATATATTTAATGGAATCATCATCTTCACCTGGGTCTGAAGAATAATCTCCAAGAAATACCTATAAAAATACAAACCAATTTTATTTTATTTTCATTTTTTTAAAGATTTTATTTATTCATGATAGAGAGAGAAAGAGAAAGGCAGAGACAGGCAGAAGGAGAAGCAGGCTGCATGCCGGGAGCCCAATGCGGGACTCGATCCCAGGACTCCAGGATTGCGCCTTGGGCCAAAAGCAGGCGCCAAGCCGCTGAGCCACCCAGGGATCCCCCAAACCAATTTTAAATAACTTTTGGCTTAATTTATATTGTGAAGAAAGTGGTAAGTCAACTAATTAATTCTCCTTCTTAGAACCAGGAGAATAGTAAGCCAAGTTTTTAATTCTTTTGATGAAGAAAGGACATACACAGCTAAGTCAGAGTTCAGTGACACCAGCAGGAATGCAGGTTGATTGAAAAGGCAAACTCTGATTTTAACTAGGATGATCGAGGGACCTCACTGGAAGGTGATATTTTTGCAATGGAGGTAAAGCACATTTAATCATTTGGCTTTCTACAAGGTAAGGAATACCCCAAAAAAGGAAAAGTTAAGGTAAAAACCCAAAGAGAAGAGAGTGCCTGGAATTTCCCAGAAACTGAACGGGCCAGTAAGAAAGAGAGAGAAGAGCAGAAGTCAGAGCTGTTTCGTGAAATTTCCGCAAAGTGGTGCGATGCTTAGAATCAAAGGCTGATGACTGGTAGGGTCTATATTAGCTCCTCCATCTCCTGAAGACAATAAGATTGTCTCCCACAGATCAGGTTGGCAACAGATCTGTCCACCAAAACCTGGCAGGCCAGAAAGGAGCAGAAGGAAATATTAAACATGCTGAAAAATATGTAGCCAGGAATTCTTTATCCAGCAAGGCAGTCATTCAGAATAGAAGGAGAGAAAGCTTCCCAGACAGGGCACCCATGTGGCTCAGTCGGAAGAGCATCCAACTCTTGCTTTCACCTCAGGTCATGATCTTAGGGTTGTGGGATGGAACCCCACGTTGGGCTCCACATGCAGTGGAGAGTCTGACTGGTGGTTCTCTTCCTCTACCTTTCCCCATCTCTTAAAAAAAAAAAAATCAAACAATCTTAAAAAAAAAAAAAAGAGTTTCCCAGACAAACAAAACTACTTTTATTAGTTTGGGACCACTAAACTAGCCCTGCAAGAAATTTTAAGGGGCACTCTTTGAGTGGAGGAAAAAGAAAAGACCAAAAGCAACAAAGATTAGAAAGAGCCAGAAACATCACCAGAAACACTAACTCTACAGGTAACACAATGGCACTAAATTCCTATCTTTCAATAATCATTCTGAATATAAATAGACTCAATGCTCCAATCAAAAGACATATGGTATCAGAATGGATTAAAAGAAAGATCCATTTATATGCTGCCTAGAAGAAACTCATTTTAGACCTAAAGCCAGAGTAGCCATACTTCCATCAGACAACTAGATTTTAAAACAAAGACTGTAAAAAGAGATGAAGAAGGGCATTATGTCACAATTAAGGGGTCTATCCATCAAGAAGATCTAACAATTGTAAATGTTTATGCCCTCAACTTGGGAGCACCCAAATATACAAATCAATAATAAACATAAGGAAACTCATTGATAACAACACAATAACAGTAGAAGACTATAATACCCCACTTACAGCAATGGACAGATCATCTAAGCAAAAACTCAATAAGGAAAAGCAATGGCTTCCAATGACACTGGACCAGATAGACTTAACAAATATATTTGGGACATTTCATCCTAAAGCAGCAGAATACACATCCTTGTCGAGTGCATATGGAATATTCTCCAGAAGAGATCACACACTGGGTCACAAATTAACCCTCAACAAGTACAAAAAGACTTAGATCATACCATGCATATTTTCAGACCACAATGCTATGAAACTTGAACTACAAGAAAAAAAAATTGGAAAGACCACAAATACATGGAGGTTAAAGAACATCCTACTAAAGAATGAATGGGTTAACCAGGAAATTAAAGAAGAAATTAAAAAAATACATGGAAGCAAATGAAAATGAAAACATGACAGTCCAAAACCTTTGGGATGTAACAAAGGCAGTCCTAAGAGTGAAATATATTGCAAATATACTGTCTACCTTAAGAAGCAAGAAAAATCTCAAATATACAACCTAACCTTACACCTAAAAGAGCTAGAAAGAGAAGAGCAAATAAAGCCTAAAGCCAGCAGAAGAAGGTAATAATAAAGATTAGAGCATCAACAAACAATATAGAAACAAAAAAACCTGATAGAACAGATTAACAAAACTAAGAACTGGTTCTTTGAAAGAATTAATAAAATTGATAAAACTCTAGCCAAACTTACCAAAAAGAAAAGAGAAAGAACCCAAATAGATAAAATCACGAATGAAAGAGGAGAGATCACAGCCAACACCATAGCAATACAATTATAAGAGAAAACTATGAAAAATTATATGCTAACAAACTGGGGAACCTGGAAGAAATGGACAAATTCCTAGAAAACTACAAACTACCAAAACCAAAAGTGAAGCAAGAAGAAATACAAAATCTGAATGGACCCAAAACAAGCAAAGAAAATTGAAGCAGTAATCAAAAATCTCACAACAAAGTCCAGAGCCAGATGAATTCTACCAGACATTTAATGAAGAGTTAATACCTATTCTCTTCAAACTATTCCAAAAACTAGAAAGGAAGGAAAACTTCCAAACTCATTCTATGGAGCCAGCACTACCTTAATTCCAGCATTATAAACAACAGCCAAACCATGGAGAGAGCCCAAATGTCCATGAATGATGAATGGATAAAATGGTACATATACACAAGGAAACAATACTCAGCCATCAAAAAGAATTAAATCTTGCCATTTGCAATGATGTAGATGGAGCTAGAGTATATTATGCTAAGTGAAATAAAGTCAGTTTGAGAAAGAAAAATACCATACAATCTTATTCATATGTGGAATTTAGGCAAGAAAACAGATGAACATACGGGAAGAGGGCAAAGAAAAAAAGGAGACAGGGAAACATGCAATAAGTGACTCTTAATGACAGGAAACAAACAGGTTTGATGGAGGGAAGGGGAGAAGGGATGGGCTAGATGGGTAGTAACTAATGAGGAAGGCATTTGCTGTGATAAGCACCGAGTGTTGTAAGTAATGTATTACTTAATTCTACTCCAGAAACCAAAATTGCACAGTATGTTAACAAAGTTAAATAAAAGAAAAATAAAATAAAATTGTCTTCCATTAAATGCGGAGATAAATCACCATGCATATAATAATTTTAAAAGCAGAAATACTGTATATGTATGCATCTGCATGTGTGAAAATTTTATTGTGTATTTTATTTTCAAAGATAACCAAAAAGATAATTTGATCAAGCTGCACTAAGATAATTAACACTAAAAACATAGAATCCTAATCTATCATTAAGAAATTTATTTTAATTAAAAATGTAAATCATAGTCAGCATCTCCCTCCCACACCCTTATATATCATACCTGGCCTGAAGTTGGTTCAATATCACCAACTAGAATATTGATAATTGTGCTTTTGCCTGCACCATTTGGACCCAGTAGCCCCAAGATCTCTCCTAAAGGAATTGAAGAAAAATTATCATATGTAAATCAAACTAAAAGTGGAAATCACTCTTCTGGAAAAATTATTTAAGAAAAAACAAATACCACCTTTTTTCACACAGAAAGAGACATATTTAGTTGCCACTTTCTTTACTTTTCTTGTAAGAAGAAAATCTTTCTTGTCCTCATATTCTTTATGCAAATTGCTGACCATGATGGCTGGTTTCTAATAAGGGAAATAAGATTTAAAAAGAGAATAAAAAATCAGATATACCTATCATGAAATGACAGGCTACTCACAATTCATGTCCATATATCATAAGAACTATATTCACTAATAAGTAGTATATAAATAAATACCCATTTATGACTCAAATGGCTTATTCAAACGTAAGTAGACAAATATATTTTTTCAAAGAAAAGACTTTTTTCATATTGATTCACATGAAAAGTATTTTTCAGATTAATTCCTATACATGAGGAAGTGATCATTGCACGTTGAATAAGACTTGGCAGTAAAGACTAAATTACCTCCTCACAACATTGGCAACTCATTAGCTCTTTGACCTTCAGTCTTTCAGCTTTGACATCTTCATCTTCATCCTCATGGTTTGGTGGTTCTGGATGCTTCCTATTTTTGGACTTTGTTGAAAGAGTTCTAAATATATATACATAATAGATTTTCAAATAATCAACAGAGTAAAAAAAATTCAAGCACTCCAGGAGAAAAGACTGAAAATATACAACAATCTGGGATCTGTGGTTATTTCTGAAAGGTGGAGTTACAGAGCTACTTTTCATTCACGGATACCATTTGGATGATGTTATCAAAATTCACTCATTTCTTCAACAATATTATTTATGACCAGTATGTGTCATGCACTGTTTTATACAAACATAAAAAGATTTAAAAATGCATGTACCCATCCTTCACAGAATTTACAGTCTGGGTATAAATGACATTGCCCAGGGCAGAGTGGATGTAGAGAGTTGAACTCAGAACTCACAGGAACACTAGAAAGGTAGGCTGAGAAAAAAGTGTTTGTAAAGGAAATCCTAAAGAGTAAGAGAGGTGATGAGTTATAAAATAGGAGTTGACATTATGGACAACAAAGGAACAAGAGAAAAGTATAAGGAGGAAGAAGTCAATCACACTAAAGTAGCAGATGAATTGAATAAGTAGAGCCTATTTGAAGAGATACACAGGAAATCATTAGTCACCTTACTGAAAATAGAATCAGCAGAGAAACAAGCACAGAAACCAGATAGCAGGGAGTTAAGGAGTGCGAGGTGAGGAAATGGAAGTGGAAGCTTCTTGGCTATGAAAGGAAAGACACATGAAACAAAAGAGCTAGAAAGAGTCACGTTTAAATGAGATTCAGAAGTTCTGTTTTCTATTAATTTGTTTTATATGAGAAAGGGGACTCCTTCCTCAAAGAAAAATAACTTCTTTAGATCCAGAAAGCAAAGGTATAGAAAGAGAAAATAAAATTGACAGAGCAATGTCCTTAAGTAGACAGAATATATGAAGACATGGATAAACCGGAGGGGTGCCTCTCTCCCTCTGGGACTAGAAAAAAAGCAAAAATGATGAAAGACGTAGATAAGTGTGTAAAACTTTCTAATTAAGTGCTTCTGTTTTCGGAGACAGCAAGTTCATCTACTGAGAAGTAGAAAACAAGATGAGGTGAACTGGAAAATTTGAGGAATATAAAGAAGGTTTGGGATAACTACCAAAGAGATAGGAAGAAAATGGGATAACAGGTGTTAAAACAAAGCTGAGTTTATATGGGATAAATACATGATATTAGCAAACTGTACTTTTATATTAATTTTCTCTAGCCTATAAGTAGACTTACCAAAAATTATGATTTTTAGCAGACAGGTGAAAGGGATATAGAAGTTGAATATAGGGTGCTGAAAGAGGGTGAAAGTAATGAATTACATGAGTGAAGCTGAATAGAGAAAAGGTGAAAACAGTGATTAGTGGATGCATTTTAAAACAGAAAAGACTCAGGGGTGGAAACCACAGTAGAAAAGGCTACTAAGACTAATAAAATAAGAAAGCTGGAAAGATGAAATATTACTGGTAGCATGGGACACAGATGAAGTGAAAAGCAGTAAACGCAGGATTCTGATCCAAATCAACACGTGAGACGCAAAGGACTCAGTCATGAGTGCAGAGAAAATCAGAAACTGAGGCACAGGATGCTAGAAAGGTTATCTCCCCCTTGGACACTGACTCTCTCCCAAGCAGGAGTAAGAACAAAGAGAAAGAAGGAGAGCCAGTTGCTAAGCCCTCAGTCGACATGGGGAGTACTCAGTGGTTAATAAATACATTCATGGCAGCATTATCCATAATGGCCAAAAAGCAGAAACAACTCAAATGTCCATCAACTGATGATTAGATAAGTCAGGTGTGGTATTTCCATACAATGTAATATTACTAAGAAAAGAAAAAAGTAATGAAATACTGCTACATGCTACAACATGGATGAACCTTCAAAACATTATGGTAAGTAAAAGAAGCCAGACACAAAAAGACTGACTATATATTATATAATTCCACTTATATAAATGTTCAGAATTGGTAGATCTATACAGCAGCTAGATTAGTAGATTAGTGGTTATACAGAACCAGGGGCATGTGCAAAGAGGGCCACTGATGACTGTAGGCTTTTTTTTACTGAGTTAAGGAAATTACCTAAAACTAGATTATGTACTTTGTAAATATACTAAGAAACATTAAAACTTTTTAAAAAATTAACTGACCTGAAAAAAGGATCCTTTCTTATTGACCTGCCTCCATATTTTTTCTCATAGTACTGTAAGAGGAAAATCCAGAGTACACACTGCAGGTAAGGCTACAAGAAGAACACATAAGAGCTCATGACTGAATGTTTTTCTCGCCCTCTATCAATAGAATAAAGACTACATACACCAGGTTCCTTACCATCACCAAAATAATTAATCACTATTTTCTTCACACATCACATGAGCTAAGGATTTCAATGCAAGCCAAGATAGATTTTTAATAAAATAATCCTTCATTTATTTTTCTACCTCTGTAAAAGTTCATTGGTTGTCAGTTTCATATAATATAATTAAAGGGAAAAAAAGTTGTTTTAGTTTCTGAGGAAGCGAGAATTATAATTAAATAGAATTAATAACATAAGAGAGCCAAGTATATTAAAGTGGACATAATAAATATACTAACACCAAAATGTATACTGGCTGGCACTAACACACTTGACTTTCTGAAGCATCTTCATTCTTATGCAACATGATAAAAACTAAAAAGAGAGTTAAAATCACACAACCAAACTGCTCTTAAGGGAACATGCTAGCACCAATATTTTTGTTCTTACCGATATAACAGCCACCAAAAGCCTATCCCATGGATTATAGGTGTCCTCATTTTTTCGAATATTCTTCCAAGAAGTCTAAGACAAAAATTTTTGAAAATTGATATGTTGCTGTGGTTAAGATGATATAATGGTATTTGGTCTTAGACCCAATTCCCAGGACACTTCTAACACCCTTGGAATTTCCTGAGTGACAGAGGTGACAGGAGCATCTTTTGTTATTTAAAATAAGTCCTAATCAACCAAAGCTGAGTTAATGCTACTGAGGACTCCTGGAGGATGGTGGTGCTGGTTGCCAGGGGAACCAACCAAGTGATTAGAAGGTGGAAACTTGCAGCCTCATTCACTGATCAAAAGGGGAGAGAGGCTTGAAGACTGATTATCTCGCTGTGCCTCAGTAATGAAATCTCCATAAAATCCTCCAAAAATACAAGGTTAGAAGAATTTAGATGGTGAATGCATCCACATGCTGGGAAGGTGGCATGTTCGAAACTTCATGCAGACAAGAGTTCCAGTACTTGGGACACTTCAGGAGTTGGCTTTCCGTAGCTCTTAATTGCATATCCACTACAATAAACTGGTAAAAATACATAAAGTATTTCCCTAAATTCTATAAGCCATTATAACAAATTACTGAACCTGTGCAGGGGTCACAGGAAGCCTGGATTTGTAGCCACATCAGATACAAGCATGTGCTACCTGCAGACCCACACTTGGATCTGGCATCTGAAATGCAGGAGGCAATCTTGTGGGAATGTGCACTTAACCCTGAACGTAGCCCTGAGTTTACATTAACTCCAGCTAGTTCAGTGTCAAAATTGCTTTATGTGAGGGAAAATCCCACACATTTGGTGTCAGATGTGTTATGAGTAGTAGTTTTCTTAAAGCTGCAATGTATAGGAATATTTATATTAAAATGCATTTTATTCAGCAAACATGCATTCTCTATACAGAAGGTAGCTTTTAATATTTTAATATTATTAGGTATGATTTCTACTTAGATTAAAATCTTCCCCATGCCAAGATATTTCTATCTGGGGATGTATAAATTAAACATATTAAACTGAAGAATGAATAAAGTAGGGCAGGGAGGAAGCAAGGTGAGGCACAGATTTAAGTTAGCAATCATTCTAAATCAATAATTCAACATTTAATTTTTTCTAATCAAATGCAAATTTTTTAATTATCCAAGCTTAATAAAACTAATGTTTTATTTTTCTTTAAAAAAGTCTCTTATACTTTATTTTCTCTCATCCCTTTATAGCACAATACATTATTTAATCATTGAAAAACTCCCCCAAAACAAATACTGACTGAGGTCAGATCATACTTGGGATTTATGTACATCCTTTTGGGAATCAAAGAACAGATAACAGACATACTTTTCCTCCTTTGAGACTTTACAGTTTAAAGATATGCTTGAAAATATTTCACAGTAATCTTAAACCGCTGTTTAACAACACTCAAATCAAGTAAATAGCAACTAAGCTGTTTTTTTTTACTATATTCAGTACAAGAACTACAAATCAAAAAAATTAGCCAGTATTTATGATTTCCAAATATTAAAACAAGTAACAGACCTACCTTTATGAAACAAATCAGACAACCCAGAAGTGGATAGATTGGAATGACTATGGAAAAGGTATAATGAAGAACAGCAGTAACTGTGTATCCCATAAAAAATGTTATTTCAGTGATCGCAATGCAAGCCAATGCTGTCTAAAGAAAAGAAAAAAAGAAAACAAGTGAAAAGGTGTTAGCAATTTCATACAAACTGACTTGTAAGTTTGTACCTTGGCATTTATTACGTTTTCAATCCTCTAATGAAACATGAAACCAGAGATGATACTTAGCCGGGAGGTGCCAGGATCAGTTGTTTGCCACTGGCATCCTTGCCATAAAGTTCTTAGATGCCTTCAGTACCATCCCTTTCTGGAATGGATGATGCAGAAGACAAATATACACACAAAAAGACGCTGCCAGCTATCTACCTAAGTTCTGTACTTAGAAAAGATACAATAACATTTTGAATATAATCCTGAAAGGGTTCATGACTTTCAAATAACCAACTATGAAAAAGCTGGAGTGAAATAATACAAAACATGACTTACCACAGAATAGATAAATGACCAAAACTCTTTGGTATTCAAAATTTTTTTAAAAGTGAAGGAAGTAACATAGGTAAACAGAATGACTGATGGAACATAACCAATAAGGCAAAAAACCTGTAAAACAAAAATGTGTATTTTATGTAAAAAAATGAGTAGCTAGTAGTATACGATATAAAACACCAGTCATGTTAAAATACTAAGGAATGACTGTTATTCAAATTTTGTTGCTCAACCAATCATTCCAAAAACTGAACTTGTGGTTACTTGAGGAATTACCATGCACATTTTTCCTAAGTCAGTAAAACTCATACTTTTAACTAACTGTAACACAATCCTGATCAAGTAATTTACACTGAACACTATTGTAGTTCTTTTTATGTTAACCAAAATGCTATCTCTAATCATTTTATTGTAAAAACAAGTATAATAGCAGGTTATAACTTTATCCGTTTCAATCAACTATTAGCTACCATTTCAATAAACAGCATTCAATGCATTTGATAAATATTTAAGAAAAACATTAATTAATTAATTTATATTTTTTAAGTTATGTTTCTTTCTTTTTTTTAATTTTTTTTATTTTTATTTATTTATGATAGTCACAGAGAGAGAAAGAGAGAGAGGCAGAGACACAGACAGAGGGAGAAGCAGGCTCCATGCACCGGGGGCCCGATGTGGGATTCGATCCCGGGTCTCCAGGATCGCGCCCTGGGTCAAAGGCAGGCGCCAAACCGCTGCGCCACCCAGGGATCCCCATTTATTAATTTATAAGGCAGAAATTAATGCGTAAAGTCAGCATGATCTCTGGAAAATGACAGAATTACTTTCAGTAGCTATACTTTCCTAGTTCTATTTTCCCTTTTTCTTTATATAAATCATTCACATGAAGGGTCTAGTATTAGTCATGTATGTGTGAACATGAATGTAAGCCATACTCTTCCTTAGTAGTTTAAGCAATGTTTTAAATTATGGAATAAAAGAACTTTTTATGAAATTATTTTCAAGCATAGGGACAAGGAAGACATTTTAAGATGGACTATTTAATTACTCTTGATTACACACATGTAGGCAGTCTACAGAAAAGACTACCTCAATTTCAAGGAATTATTTTATAATGATGGCTAGTTACTGTTTTTAAAAATCACTTACAGTAATAGGAACTGCATTATCAGTATCATATACAGTAATTAAAATAGATACTGGTTCTATTTTCTATAAAATAACTAATATCCAAATTACTCAACCAACGCTTGTCAGGTTTATAAATACTTAATTTTTTAAAATGACATTTCATTTAAAAATAGCATAATACAAGTGATGTTAACTTACCACAGAAAGGAACTTTATAGCATAAAAATATAATCCATAATGAAATGCAAATAAGCTTCCTAGCATCAAAATAAGAACAAGAAAAAATAGGGGGATATCCACAATAGCTTGTCCAATCCAGTATGCAGATGGCAAAAGCCCTGAGAGTTTAAGCTGAGTATAAGCTTTGATCTACAAAACAAAAAGACGGAAGAGGGAAAATATAACTGTAAACATTGTACAAACAAAAAACTCTAGCAAATTATTGTAGAACTCTTAATTCTACATCAACAAAACAATACAGGTCACATTCCAGGTCTCCAGGTAATAAAAGCCTTCCTACAACTAAATATAAATTCCATATAGTCTTTAATTTGGCTCATTAGTCCTTTTTCAGAATCACAATACAGTAAGGCAAAGAAACACTAAAATAAAGCAAAAGATGTCATGGAGGCATATAGCTGTTCAAACACAAGTAGCCAAAACACTGTTGCTTTTAAAAATCTTTGAAAATAGATGGAAAGTTGTGCTTAAACATAAAGCACTCTCATTTTTAAAAATTAACATTTTATGAAAACACTAATAAACTGCCAATGTCTTGTGGATTTACATAAGGCTTTCAGCTTAAGTGTGAAACTTTATACTGATAATTCATTTTAGTGTTTCATATACTCCTATATAGTACAAAGATGTAAGTTATTAATATAATTAATTAGCATTTTCATGTATACAAACAGTAAACTTGAATGATCTGAGTTTTCCTAACTTTCTCATCCTGTCATTGTTTAACTTATTATTTGGGTTTTTTAAAAAGATTTATTTGTTCATGAGAGACACAAAAAGAAAGGCAAAGACATAAACAGAAGGAAAAGCAAGCTTCCTGCAGGAAGCCCGATGCAGGACTCGATCCCAGGACCCCAGGATCACACCCTGAGCCAAAGGCAGATGCTCAACCACTGAGCCACCCAGGTACCCTCATTATTTAATTTGAAATTTTAAAAATCCTTTATAAATCTAAATACCTAACAATTCTACTCAGTTGACTTTGGGAATCTATAAAAATATATATTCCTAATAATTAAATGTATTTATTATATGAGTTAGCCTAGAGATAACAGAAGCATGAAATATAAAAATTAGTTAAGAATCAGAGAAGAAGTAATTTAAAAAATGGACAACTTTTGTGTTCAATGAATTATAAGAACAAAAATATAAACTCTAGTGTAAGTATGAAAAAAGTCAAATAGAGTTATTTTGTATCATCTATGCGTTTGTCATTCATACAACGCTAATGGGAATGTAAAACAATATATCCACTCTGGAAAAGTTTGACAATTCCTTATAAAACCAAACATGGAATCACTATATGACACAGCAATTGTACTCTTGGGCATTTATCCCAGAGAAATGAAAACTTGCATTCACACAAAAACCTATATGCAAATGTTCACAGCAGCTTTATTCATAATAGTCAAAAACTGGAAACAATCCAGATTCATATCATGGAATACCACCCAGCAATAAAAAAGAATGGACTACTGATACATATACATACAAACTGAATGAATCTTCAGGGAATTATGCCCAGTGAAATGTTGTGATTCCATATATACATTCTTAAAATATCAAAATTCCAGAAATGGAGAACAGAATAGTGGTTGCCAGAGGTCTTGGAGGGGGTGGGTGTGTGGGCTTGAAAGTGCAATAGGAAGGATCTTTGTGGGGATGGCACTGTTCTGGATCTTGACTACCACTGCCAAGATCCTGGGATTTTACAGTTTTACAAGATGTTATTACTCTGGTGAAGTGAGTAGGGTACACAGGATCTCACCATATTATTTTCTATCCTCCCAATATGAGTCTACAATTATCTCTAAATAAAAATTTGAATTAAAAAGCATTGAAGTTGAAACAAAAAAGAAAAAATGCAGTTGTCTAGTAAGTTTTTTATGTGAGTGGTAATGTTATAGATATTTTTAAATATTACACTTTTCTACATTTTCTAAATTAGAATAATGAATACATATTTAAAACAGAAAAAAATATATATTTTAAAAATATCTCCTAAGACTCATGTATTACTTTTCCACTAAGGAGAACTATGAAAATATGTAATTATTTGCTCTGAGGCTGAACTTTATTATTTGTCACACTGGGTAAATTAATTTAGACAAATCTGCTTTCACTGAACTAGGAACAGACATGGGAAAAATGAGAATTTTGATTAGAGGAGTAAGAGGGACAATGTGAGCTGGGTAGTAGGGTCGAAGACTTTCAACAGCCAAGAGACCATATAAGAGCACCATGTGCCTGAGAACAGAAAAGAGCAGAAAAGTAAAAGGATACTGAACAACCTGTGTACACACAGCAATGTTTCCTAGGCTCTGGTAATCACAATCATTATCTATTTTTTCCATTTAGCAAAAATTAAGTACTTGTACATTCAATACATTCCATTAAAGGTTAAGGGGGAGAGGCAGCTTAGTGCACAAATTGAACATAAGAACCCACTACTTAAATGAGATGAGACAACATGGACACATGCTTTGATCACTTCCATCCTCACCTCCTGACCTATAAATAAAGTTGATAACATAAAACTTCATTAAAATGCTGTAAGGATTAAAGGATATAACTTTTGGGACGCCTGGGTGGCTCAGTGTTGAGCGTCTGCCTTCAGCTTAAGGTGTGATCCTGGAGTTCCGGGATCGAGTTCCTCATCGGGCTCCCTGCATGGGGCCTGCTTCTCCCTCTGCCTATGTCTCTGCCTCTCTGTGTGTGTGTGTGTGTGTCTCTCATGAATAAATAAATAAAATCTTAATAAATATAAATAAAATAAAATAAAATAAAATAAAATAAAGGATATAACTTTTGAAGCATGTGACAAGGACTCAAGTTATAAATGATATTTATCACTGTTACAATAGCAAATATATTTATTCTCCATTTACTTACTCCTAAAATACAATTCTTATACCCACGCAAAATATATTATTTTGTATGAGATCTCTTTTAACAAACTTTACCTGTAATTTTAACTCAATCATTACCTTATGATTCTCTGCATTTTCCATGGCAAAGTAAGGTGGCATTGCGGTGACAATGATTCCAAGTAAAGCTGCTTGAAAATACAGCTCAATTTTAAAAACTATGTCAGTAATTTCCTGAAAGACAATCACAGAGTAAGAAATGAAACGAAATCACTTTATATCATCTTAGCACTTCTAAATAAAAGACTATCAAAACTTCTGAAGAAAAATATTAGAATATCTATTCTAGGCATAGTCTGTATGAAAAACCAGGTGGCAAAGTTAACAGGCAGTGAGCTACAGGACCAACTCTGCCACTTAGTAAGTAGCTTTATAATCCTGAGCAAATCATCAGATTTACATTTTCTTATCTACAACACAAAATAATACAGCATTTAAATGGAGTTTTTTACCATTTAATTAAAAATAATAATGTATATGAAAAAGCAGTTAGTATGTCCACCAGTAATCCTACGCAATGAACAGGACCATGTCAGAATGATTTTATGAAGCATTCGTTGGTTACAGGGACTATGAGCCATTTAGGATCTCTGGGCCCTCTTTTGAAAAAGCTGTACTTTGGAACAAGCTCAGCCTCCTATGGAAACAGGAGTTTCTTCTCCCCAGTGGGGTGGGGCGAGGGGGAGGGTTGACTATAATTCCTATAGGCCTCAATGGTCACTGGCTGCCCCAAAAATCCAAGTACATAAGGGAAACTTTTCCAGACAACCTAAGTAAACAGCTGGTGCCCCAAATACAAACTACCCAGAACCAAGTGTATTGTATTACCCTCACCCTTAACAAGACAATTTCCCTACCCTTGTTCTGTAAAAAGATATACTCATGGACACAGAATGTATTCTGCTCTAGAAGAGAACCCACACTATGTCTAGCAGACACCCTGGCCCTGGCACTGGTACACCCCTCCACAGGATGATGTGGAATCAGAATGCATTTTGTCAACTCTGGCCTTCTAAGTTTAAGCAATAAAGACAATTATTTAATTCATGCTGGTGACATTGTAGAATTTTTCCCAAACTGTGGTAATTTACAGTGGAAGACCAAGATAGAACCAACAAATATGTTGGCAAGTAGCTAAATAGTACAGTAAGTGAAGATTAGTAAAAACACATTTGTATTCAATCATACAGAATCTGATAAAGGAAGGGGAAAAATGTGGAACATTAAGAACACTATTATCTTTGAATAATGAGCTTTAAAAGTCTCATTTCTTTGCCTCTGGTTTTCGAAACGGTAAGGTTATATGTCTGTGTTTGATGAAAAATGTAAGTTGAAAGATCTTTTTTAATAGTTATGGATATATATATATACAGTATCATCATAAAAACAGACTTATAAATTTTGCATTGTGGTTATTTTATGGTAGAGAGAAGGAAACAGGATTAGAGAGGAGCACACTGGAATTTTGAACTGTATTTTTATTTAAAGTTTTATTAAATTAAGAAAAAATGTATAACAAGGCATTGACATTTGAAACATTTGGATAGTAGATACATGCTTATTTTCCGTAGGCTTGAAATATTTCACAATAAAAAAAATCACAAAGGATGACCTATAACTGATAATTTCCATATCATTTATTTACTGATGACTCCCAAATATTATTTCCTTCCAGAAATCTCTTCAGATTCACACATCCAAATACTTCCTACATGTCCCATCAGGCAAATGCCACACAGATAACCAACAACTCTGTAGACTCAAACTGAAACAAATATCTCCATTCCACCTAAACAAAACACAACTCTCTTCTGCCTATATTCTCAGTTCAGTGAATGATACTACCATGAACCACATTACCCAGAACTGTAGGACTGTAGGAAATCCGATTATTCTTTTCCTCACCTCTCACAAATGCAACAATGATAAAGTAAGACACACACTGTTCTTTTCCTTCAATCACAGTCATTACTGCCACCTCCTTAGCTCAGTAGCTCATCCTCTCCTCTCACTTGAACTAGTTAATAAAACTGCTCTGATCTGTGCCAGTGCAGGTTCCTTCCTCTCCTCCACCATGATTCTCCCCCACAGAAATCCTTCTCCACTCTGGTGCCAGTGATCTTTCTTAAATGCAAATATGATGTTCCTTTGTTTCCATGTCTAAGCATAACTGTAACAAGAATAGTACTAATCTTCAGGGACCTACATTTGAAGACAGCAGAAAGTGACCACAAACTAAACAAGTTCTGGGTGTGGATTTTATAGCCACAGAGAGAGAAGAAGGTAGATTGGTAGATTAATGGTTGTCTGGGAGTGGGAATGGGTGAGGGAGGTAGGGAGTGATTACCTAACAGGTACAATGGTTTTCTGGAATGTGAAGGAGATAATAAAACCTAGAACTGATACAGTGATGGATGTAGAACTCTATGAACATAATAAAAATCACTGGATTGAAATTAGTTAATACTGTATGAAGTGTATCTCAATAAAGCTCTTTTAAAAAGTACAGCAATAGAAAGTAAAAAAAAATGGTACTACAGGAAGGTATTTGTCCATTTATTTTTCAATATATGAAAAAATATAAGGGTGAGAGAAATTTGTTGACCATTTTTCTGAAGACTTAATTTTCACATTTATAATCCAACAGTCCTATATAAAGGAAAAATGACTATATGAGTGACTTTTCAAGTTTCTTTTAATACCCCAGTAAGAGATTTTAGATGAACAATATTCATTTTTAAATTATGTTAATTTACCTTGTATGAGTAATAGAGAAAATACTTATGCTTTACAAAAATATCAGTACCAAGAGAGAACTTCCTTGATCCTGAAGCAAACTAATACTGGGCATTCCTAAACCCAGATGTAAAGCATCCCCAATTCAGGTTTTAATAAGACTAGGAACTGTGACAGGATGAACATCTACAGATTTCCTTTGAATTAGCACTTGGCTTTTATCACACACACACACACACACACACACACACACACAGACATTTTAAGTCTGCTTACTTGAAAGAACGGGGTATTCCAGACCTGGATGGTTTCAGTCACATTTAAATGATAAAGATAATAATTACTAATAATATTCATCAATACAGGTAAAGAACAAACCATAGTACTGTTGAAAACAGCTGTAAAAACATAGTCCTACAATTTAAAAAAAGAGTGTTATTACATACCATATATAAATACACTGCCACTATGTACTACCAAGCTTTCTCACAAACTAAGTGAATCCTCACTAGCTAAAAGCTGATTCAACAAATTACAGAAATAATATTCAATAGATAAAAACAGAAGACGATAACCTGGTTTGGAGTCTATAAATATTTTGGTATTTTAAACAAATTTATAACACAAAGATTAAATTAAGTTTTTTATAGTTTTATATACTGGTTATCCACCAGGTCAAAAAATACATTATAAACACAGCTAGCTATGTCCAAAAGTAAATTCTAATTTCCAACTAATAAGGTCAAATCAGCAAATGAGTAAGTTTAGAGAAAACATCTTAATGTTCTAGAACTTTCAAATAGGTATTCATTCACATATATTACTCTTACCTCTTCTGAATACATCACATTTAAAGCTGCACTATGGGGAGCAGCAGACACATAGTCACTGTCATTAAACATCGTCACCATGATGTTCTGGTTTGTGAAAAAGCTAATAAGATCGCTGATATCAGAGTCTGGTATTAGAAATAAACAAATAATTAAGAATCAGCTTAAATAAGAAACAGACATAGACTTTTTTTTTCAGACATAGACTTTTAATAACATTGGAAACAGCTTTTTTTTTTTAATTATCTTCATTAAAAAGACATGATTAAGAGCACTGGTTCTGGAGCCAGTCAGCTTGGATTTGAATCCTAGTCAATATATACACAAGCCTTAAAAACAGAACCTAGCAAAGTAATTGTACAAATTGTAGCTCCTGCTGCTGCTACCATTGTTATATTGAAAGTTTACCTATAATACATGGAATTGGGAGAAACTGTGAGAATAAAAATCTATATGGCAACTTTATGTAATAAGAGAACCTGCTAGGCTCAAAAAGGTAGAATCAGGCACCGTGTGCAGTTAGGTAACATCACTCATTAGAGGATTTCTGTGTACTTTGAACAGACAGATTTTATAAATGTCAATTGTCTTAACTGCCTTAAAATATTAAAACACTAATCAGATCTCCATCTACAATCTTTAAATTGCCTGGAGCCAAGGGAAAGATTGTGAATCCCGTCTGAGTTTTAGATCAATACCAACAAGTCTGATGAATATAAACCATTCCACCTCTTCTTCACAAAAGCCAGAAAGGACAAATGTGACTCTGAGAAAAATCAAAACCAAACAAAGCAAACCACTACCAGTAACTAAAAATAGTGACAGGTGGATCAGACTCAGCACCAAACCTGAGCATCACAATGATGCCGTTAGTGCTTTCATTGGTGTTTTAGATACTCCACTTACTCCTTACCTACACAAATGATCTCTCTTCTCCAGATTCTTGAGAAGGGAGCTACATTATAACTGAAGGAACTAGATCACCTGTGATACAAAAAGTTTTGCAAGGAGGATCAGATACAATCCAATATAGACATACAGAGGCCACTGATTCCCAAAGGAAGCATGGCTTTATTTAGGACCATCAAGGCCTAGGAAAATATAAGGTACATTTGTAAACAATTCTGGAAATACTAAAAAATAACAAAAGGGACAAAATTTTGAAAATACAAGAATTTCTGCAGATCAGTAAGAGTGAACTCAAAACAAAATTATTTGAGATACACGTACAATTTCCCAAACACACAAAAAATGTCACTATATCAGAGTATAGGCTTTAAGCAGCACTTTATTTTACCAACATGAAATGTGTATTAAAATCAAAATAAAAATTCTAATTAAAGAAATAAATTATAAAACATCACATTTTCTATTCAAGAGTAGTTTTCTGTCACAATATACATTCTTCCTCCAAAAGAATAAAGATTATGTAATAAACTGAGAGTTACCTTTTAAGTGATGATTTTAAAAGTAATTTATAATCGTCCCTAACTATAATTATTATCCAACACTGGTCAAAGCTCTTCAGTTAATAATGAATCAAGAAGGAAAGATTACTAGAACATAGCTACATGTTGGAAAATATTAAACCCCAAAGAGTCTGTGAGTTACATAAACGATTATAACAAATGCAACTTCCTAACCTATTTCAGCTAGAGAAGCAAATAAAGTTGTCTCTGTTTCACTGTAAATTTGCCAGAGTTGGCTACCTCTTCAAAAACCTTGGGACTATAAACTATCTATGCAGATGGGAGATTTTGTAGGAACTGTTCATATGTGAATGAAATTTTGTATTGCGCTTTATTATTTTGAAAAGCAAAATCCCATGTTTTTTTTCTTTACTTGTTCTGAACCTTGTTCAAGACCATGGTTCTTAATCATTTTTCATATTTGACAACTATGTAATTAAGAATAAATAGCAAATAAAAAAATTAGAAAATACTCATTACCAGTTTAATGTATTTGATTATAAATATAGTTAATACATTTTTTCTTAATTCTTACTAATTTTTCACATGGTCCTTAAAAATTGTTTAAATATTTCTATTTAGACATCTAATTGTGTAAATATTACATACTATAACTCTTTCTAAAACTTCTGAAGTTTATTTTGCTTGTAATAGACTTTAATATGAAACATACTACTTTGACAATATGTTGCTACCATTAAGAAAAGAAATCTTAATATCATAAACAGTACAAGGTTAGTTTTTAAAAACCGTAATCTACAGTTGACCAAAATTCATTTCTGTAATATATTACTCAATATCAAAAAGGAGTTTTTTAAAACTTAAGATATCTACAGATCATGCCTTTACCTTACATCTACTTCTAAAATCCCAATCTCTGACCTATATCCACACCCCTATGCCCCAACCAACACACATTCACAGACCTTCACACACTCTCACCAGTAGAATTTTGAAGAAGCAGACTTGTTTTGTATTTATGAGGTTTGTCTCCAGATTTTAGGAAATATAAGTCTGGAACAAGTTTGATGGGAACCACAGCATTTTTAAAAGAGCGATGCACCAAAAACATAAAAATCTGAACTGCGAAAAAAATTAAAAGCAGAAGCAACCTGAAAGGAAAATATAAAACAGCACAGGGTACATTAATATGTATATCTACTTTTAAAAATTCTCCTTCAAATAACAGTTAAAAGTACACATGCAAAAAGAAAAAAGAGAAAAGAAAAACTTGAAAGAAATAGCCTGAGAGTAGAATTTCTGTTCTCCAAAATGATCTCATGACGATACTGAACAGAAAGCAAGTATTTAATAATAAAATTAAATTATGAAACTAAAATCAGAGTCATCCTGAAACTTTTATGGGATATGTGACCTTGTGCTTATAATTTTTTAAGAACTAGACATTATGCCACATTTATATGCCTATTGTCCTGACAGAACTACTTATTTCCTGCCCTATGTCTTAACTATGCTATGCATACTCTCCTATGCTTTAGAAAAGATATTACAAAAATATCTTAGATACAGGGAAGTAAACAAAAATACAGTGAAACTGTTTTATTTTCAAATATAGTGAAACGCTGAATGACTGATATCTTTGAAATGTTATCCACACCACATTAATTTCCATTGTTCCTCTAGAGAGAAGCAAAGCAAGATAGAATAGTCAGTTATAAGGATCATTATTTGCTGTTGGTCAAGTACATAATTCTATAACCTATTCAAAATGCCCATCTATCTAGAAAGCAGATATTCTTCTGTCTTATGCTGTATATTATTGCTATATTACCTGTGATAGGTATCAAAGCAAGTGGGTAGAGAGAGTTTATCACAGGTTAGCATTTTTAATTTTCAGAAACCTTATATAATTTAAAAAAAATCATTCTCATAAATTAAGTATACATCAATCAGTTTTTCCAAAAGCATACTGCATTGAACCCTAGTTCCATAACCAGTTAATAGGCGTTTTATATTTAAAAATTCATGACTGGGGGCAGCCCCGGTGGCGCAGCGGTTTAGTGCTGCCTGCAGCCTGGGGCGTGATCCTGGAGACCCTGGATCAAGTCCCACGTCGGGCTCTCTGCATGGAGCCTGCTTCTCCCTCTGCCTGTGTCTCTGCCTCTCATTCTCTCTCTGTGTCTCTATGAATAAATAAATAAAATCTTTAAAAAAATAAAAATAAAAATTCATGACTGGGACGCCTGGGTGGCTCAGTGGTCGAGCATCTGCCTTCAGCTCAGGGTGTGATCCTGGGATCCTGGAGTGAGTCCCATATCAGGCTCCTCACAGGGAGCCTGCTTCTCCCTCTGCCTATGTCTCTGCCTCTCTGTCTCTGTCTCTCTCATAAATAAATAAATAAAATCTTTAAAAATAAAAAAAAATTCATAATTAAACAATATTTGGAAACTCTAAAGTTTAATAAAATTGAAGCAATTTCTTTACCATAGAATCTCTCACGTATTTTCATATGCTGATATAAACAACTCTTTAAGAGAGGAAATCTAAGAAATAGCATTTCCTAAATGCACAGATGGTCAAATGCGCATTTGAAATACTTTTTGTTAGGAATTGAATGTTTGTGTCACCCTCCCCCCAAATTCATATGTCAAAGCCCTAAACCTCCAGTGTGATGGTATTAGGAATAAGGCCTTTGGGAGGTAATCAGGATTAGATGAGGTCATTGGCATAGGGCCCTCGAGATGCGATTAGTGCCCTTCTAAGAGACATCAGAGAGTCTGCTCTCTGTCTCCTGTGCGTCAACAAAGAAAGTCATATGAGAACACAGCAAGATAACAGCGTATCTCTGCAAGCCAGGAAGAGTGCCCTCAAGACCAATTTTGTACCCTAATCTGATTTCCACACTCTAAAACTATGATAAAACAAATTTCTGTTGTTCAAGCCACTCAAGTCTATGTTATTTTGTTATAGCAGTCTGAACTAAGACTTTTATTGTTTTTCAGGGAGTGTTTTTTATAAGAGGAGTGGTTCATTTAAATAAACTGAAACATGCTGTTTAAATAAATATTTTTCTTTTAGTAATGCAGAGAAATAAGTAAGACACTTGACTGACATTTCTTTGCTACTGAATAAATTAGGGCAAAAAAAGCAAATGAATTCAATGTATCTCAAGCACATAACAATACTCTAGGCTTATTAAATTTTATTTCTATCACCGTTTTGGATCTAACAAGATTGGTGCATGTTATATGAAAATATTTAACGTTATGTTCCAATCATTGAAAATCTAGCACCCATGGAACCTGAAAGAGGTAAAGCAAAGTTGAAAAGATGTCATTCTGATCCCAGTTCCACAAGCTATAAAGCCTTCTTTATATTTCTGTTCTTTACCTGATAAAGATAAAACTTTTACTCTTCTTGCTATTTATAAAAAGTAGTTATACATAGTATATACAAAACAATTGTGTAAAATATAATTGCAAAATAAAATTTAAATACAGTGATAATTCAAAAGTTGCAATTAATATTATGACAGTTCCTGATTTAGATGAGAACAAAAAAATGCTATTTTTTTAAATATTACTTATCTATTTGACACAGAGAGAGAGTACAAGCAGGGGAAGCTGCAGACAGAGGGAGAAGCAGGCTCCCTGCTGAGCAGAAGGCCCAACCCTGGGATCATGACCTGAGTTAAAGACAGATGCTTAACCCATTGAGCCACTAAGGCAACCTAAAAAATGCTAGTTTAAAAAAAGAGTAAAAGCGCTAGTGGTATTCAATAAAATTGATAAATGCATAATTCTTTTCTCTGACATTGTAAAGTTTACAGTCTTAATCTTTTAAAACTACGTAGATTTACATATGTCTACACTTAAAAAATTAAGATGACAAGCTGAATTTGTATCCTTAAAAAAACAACTCATCAGGCAGGAAAGTGATTATACTTACACTGATCTCACTGATTTACTTTCCCGTTTCAAGGTAAGCAAATGAAACTTTGCTACTGTATACACCTGCTGTTTCCAAAGGCTCATGGTGCTTACTAGAGAAGCCTTGGTTTCAGAAAGAATAAGTAAGCTCTGCTCCATTTCATCAAAAGATTTTGAATCCATTTCTTCCTCTGGTGGCTGCTGGGTAAATACACTATAATCTATTTGCCAAAACAAAACAAAGGGAATATTATGGTATATTCCTTAAAAGGATAAAAATCTTTCTGAGGCATATAAATTTTAAAGAAGCATACATCTGGTGGTGATGTAGGACAAACAGAAATTTCATATACTTTGGCACTATTATTAAAACTGAACACATGCATATTTTATGACCCAGAAAATTCTCTGCTAGATATAAAGACAACAAGGATAAGTACATAGGTCTACCAAAACACATATACAAGAATATTCGGAGCTGGCTATCTGTCAAGAATAGCCATAAACTTGGAAGAACCCAACTGTCTAATAGGTGAATGAATAAGTCATAAAATACTCTTGTAACAGCATAGCCTAAAACAATGAAACTAAATATACTATACAACTATGGTAGTTTAAAACTTACAAACATAATATTAGGTAAAAGAAGCCAGACACAAAAGAGACATATAATTTATTCCATGAGACCAAACACTGATAATATTAATCAGTGAGGATAAGAAAAAAGGTTATTTTTATGAGTGACTCAATTTTTTAAAAATGAAAAACAATAAAAAGATGAAAATTGGTTTCAGCATGAGGAGAACCAAAAAAGAAGGACTTCTATGACTTATGTTAAATTTAAAAAATGAGTAAACATTAAAAACTTTAAGAGTGGAATGGAATAATACATAAAGTAATACTGAACCACAGCCTGGTTATCCTGGGACCTTCGCAACTCAACAGTTTAGATGAATGACTTAGTAAGAGGAACCAGTCTAATCCCTCTTTTTCCCTGATACAATGGACTAAATCAAACTAAAAATGGAGCTAAAACATTATACATTACAATCATGGTATTCAGGGAACACCAATTTACCTTCTACAGAATTTGACATTTTTAATGCTTGAAAAATAAAACAAAATCAGCCAAACTGAATGCAAGCCAATGTTACAGGTAAATTTATTCTGCATGGTGAACTTCAAGGTATACAGAACAAAGCCGTAATACCTACACTGCACATAGCCTTCTCATCTTTATCCCCACTACCCAAACATTTCTACAGACTACTTCCTATACTTCAAAATATTTAGCATTAAATATAAGCATTTTTTCCACTTAATTCTCTTCCATAATCCAAGGTGTTACAAGCATACGCATTGATAGTACATTCTATATCCTGACCTCTAACTTCCTCTATTTCTCCTACTCCCACACCTTCATCTCTACCCAATTTCATCAAACTGGAAGCATGTCCAAATTTGAGATCTTGTTCTCCCTCTAATTATGTAAGATCTAAAACTTTTATGTGAACTTCCTCTGTCTATAATCTGATTTCACATCTTTTTCATAAACCTGACTCCTCTCCTTTTTCCATGTTTGAGAGAAACATTGTTTCTTTCACCTTTGTGACACATTACCATCACCCCAATCATGCCCATTTTCAATTGTTTACTCACCTTCTCACCTTAAACTTCACAGAACCAGCTTTGACTTTCACCACACCACTGAAATGGCTGCTGTCAAGGTCACCACTGTCTTCCACACTCCAAAGCCCTCACTGTCTTCCATGTTACCAAAGTCATCTTTTCTGTTCTTATCTTATTCTTCACAGCAACCGGAAAATATGTAATCACTTCCTCTCCCCTAAAACACTATTTTTTCTGTGCTTTTACATCTCCTTTTATGAAGAGAGTTAGATACTTAACCCACTGAGCCATCCAGGTGCCCCCAGAATGCATTTTTTAAACATGCAAATCAGATCATGTTACTCCTTTGCTTTAGAATTCTCAATAGCTACACATTGCACTAAGAAAATCAAATTCTTTTCCAGATATTCAAAGACTAAACATGATCTGGCCCCTGGCCCTCCCCTCTAATCTCTTTGCTTTGGTTCTCTAAACTCTATCTGAAGTGGCCTTTTCTTGATCATCAAACATACCCAACTCATTCGTTAATTAACAGTTTGCACTAGCAGTTCCCTTTACCCAAAAAGTTTTGCAATAAAATCCTCATGTATTTACATTTTTCTTGCCATCCAAGTCTTAGTTTATCACCTCAACGCAGTCCTTCCTAAAGATACAATCTAAGTTATCTGCCTCCCAAGACCACCCCATTATTTCCTTCACAACTCCTACTGTTTTCAGTAAATATCTCAGTTATTTATTTACCTGTTTCTATCTACCATTTCTTCCTCTAAAAACATATTTCATATGCTCATATAATTATTCATCTTGTTCACCATCTCTCTGGTTTATTGCCTAAAATTTTTTCTTAGTTTTGTTTCTACCTGCTTGGTCAATTTCTGCTTCAACTTCTAGCTTTAAGAACACATCTTCCAAAGTTGTCATGGAAACACCATAAGAAATAACACCCAAGTTTGAATGACTGTCTAGAGCAGAAAATAAACCTAAAAGAAAAAAAAAAGCAAAGAATGTTGTGTAGTTTAGCATATCATCATGAATTATTCTAAAATACTCTTTAAAAATGGGATAGGACTAAATCTACTCTGCCAGTCCAGTAGTTCTCAAAATTTTTGGTCTCAGAATTCCATTAACATTCTTAAAAATTGCTAAGGACCCCAAGGAATGTTTGTTTATAGAGCTATATCTAGTGGATATTTATCATACTATAAATTAAACCTAAGAAATATTTTACAGACAGAATGATACGGTATATTAAAGTTGACATATATATTTTATTCCAGTTAATTAAGGATTCTTTTTTCCCCCAGGAAAAAATCAATTAAATTGATAAAGAAAACTGTCCAAATGAGATAAATATTAAGAGAATCCTGCACAACATATCTCCATCAATAATATCCTTTTGGTTATGAAGATATCTCTAAACAGATAAAGGAGACCGAGTGTGAGTTCCTCATCATGAAGGTGAAAATTAATGCCACAATTAAAATAATTCAAGGATCTATTATATTATATAATTCATTATGGAATTATAAAACTGAAAAAGAACTTGAGAACGCATACACTATTCTGTGTGTGTATAATATTATATATTCCCAGGAAGCCTCCAAGCAAATGGAACAATCTTTCTTGACAACAAAGCAAATACTTTTCCTTAAGTTAACATAATAGTTTCTTGCATATTGTTTTTAAGATGAAAAAAAAAAAAAACCCCGCACATTAACTTATAGTTTCTGATTCTCAAAAGCAAGGTACTTTTACAGAAATGTAAAAGTAAAGTAAAACCACCTAGGAACATGTAAATATTACACAGAAAATTAAACAACACAGTAAATCAAGAAAACCTATTCCCAATGCAAGATCCTGGTTCAACAATCAGGAAACTGAAAGTAATACCTGCAAATTTGTCCATGTCCTTAAAAGGCAAGCTATACACAAGTTGTTGGTCATTCTGTTGTAATAAGGTAGCTCCAGGTATATGTTGTTTAACCAGGGAAGAAAGAGATTCGGTGGCACAATATTTGTCTATGTACATGCTAGAGAAAACCAAAAGTCATAACTTTTCAATAATAAGTTTAATAATACTTTACCAAAAGTAAAATCTGAATGCTTGAAGTAAAGTTAGTGCCATAAAAATTGGCCAAAGCATATTATGGCAAATCTGAAATATAGTAAGAGTAGGCCAAGAATATTATAAAGAATAAAGTCAATCAAGAATGAATCATACCTTAGGCGGTAGCCAATCCCCCATTTACTTTTGAGAAAAATTGAAGAACCAACACATTTCAACATTCCTTGTGATATGACAGCTTTCCTATCTGCAAACAGAAATTTGCATTTCAATTTTTTAGTTAGTAACAGCATTTACAGTTCAATTTTTAAGTTAGTTGGCATTTATATTTTGTGAACTACCATATGAGGCATCAATATCATCATTAAAACATCCTTAAATACTCACAACTTTATTTGAAAGGTACCAGATTATCACTACCTGGTTTTTAAATGAGAACACTGAGGCAACGAGAAAACATACTGTCTGCCCATGTTTCACATAGATGTTAAGTGATAAAGCCACTCTCTTGCACAGAGTCTCTAATGAGCTTCCCTGGTAGACAACATTTCACATATGTTGTTAACAACTCCTTGCCAGAGAAATTAAGCATATTCAGTGACTCCACTGGGAAAGGATTTTTGGAAGCTCATGTCTGGTTTCCTCCATGTCCCATGTGCCTTTTCATTTTGCTGATTTTGCTTCATATCCTTTCAGTCTTGTGGTATTAACTCCTAAATACTGTATGTTGAGTCCTAGCAAGTTACTGAACCTGAGATGGTCTGCAGGACTCCCAAACATAAAAATATGTAGTTTTTAAAAAGTTTAAAACACACATCTGTGAGGATCACATAGCTTCTTTATTCATCAAGATTTTGCATCTCTATGTCCATTTCCTATTTGGTCCCATGACCTTATGCTTCAAAAATAAAAATCTCACCAGCAAGAATGTCAGCTTCATCCATGAAATGAGTACTAAACACTGTCACCCGATTAGATTTCCCATACTTCAGAAGATTCCAAACAATATGACGAGAACAGGGGTCCATTCCAGCTGTTGGTTCATCTAGCAATAGTATCTGTGTGAAAAAGAATAGGGAATGGCAGAGAATCCTCAGAAGAACTAAAATATGTAAAATTTATGGACACTGGAAAACTTCCCCATTTCAAATTATTATTCCAACCAGAAGTATATTAGGACTGAGTTTTTCAGTCATATATGAGCTAAGCATAAATTTTTTAAATTATCAGTTTGGCAAGTTAATATTTTTGTTTCAATTTTAAAAAACTATTATCAGTAACATATAAGACATATGTGCAATAACAATCAGATACATAAACTAAAAAATAAAACATTGGTGAGGTTTGGGAGAAAGATAAATTAATATAAAGCCAGAATCCACAGTGATCCCAAGCTATAGCAGCAAGGAGAAATGTGGCAGGATGGCAGGGACCAAGATGGCTCAGGCTGCATCTCAGCCCTATGCAAAGCACTATATCAGATGGTTCTGTTTCTAGAGGACAAAGAAAAGCACAGAACAGACAAAAAATAAAATCAGCAGAACAGTGAAAAGCTGAACTATTCCTCTGGTTTTGTTCTGTTTTAAAATTTTATTCAGAACTATTATGAAAATACAGAAAACTAGAGACAGAATTAGTATAGCTACCACTGATACATAACAAATGCCATTTTTTGGGCCATATTTTCCGTAGATCTTTTTTAAAACAAATAAAACACTGCAAATGTAACTAAAACCTGTCCCTTCCATTCCACTTCCTAGAAGTAACCACTACTGTAAATATGTTTTATCTTTATGACTCCAGTTTAAAAATCTTATTATTTTAATCACATCCATAATAATGCATAGTGTTTTATGTATGTGGAAACTTTACAATTATTCTATGTAAATATACAATATATTATATTTGTGAATTATACATTAATATTTATTTACCTTTGGATTCCCAAGAACAGCAATTCCTAAAGACAGTTTTCTTTTTTGACCACCACTTAACTTTTTAGCTTGATTATCTTTGATAGGCTGCATGTCTAAATCCAATAAAACCTTCTGTACCTGTAAAGTGAAAACAATGTTATTTTTAAATTATATGATTTACATAATTATCAATATTAATTTTTAAGTGTTCTGATTTTAATATCAACTTAAGAAATGTTCTTTTAGTACAGAATTTAGTTTTGACATGTATTCATATATAATTTAAAATAACACATAAAAAGGTTCCTGATTGAAAGGTCTGTTTTACTTTTGTGACTTCCTGGGTAGTGGTGAAGGGATCAGTTGGAAGGCTCTGTGTGTGTGTGTGTGTGTGTGTGTGTGTGGTGGAGGAAGGGAGGCAGATGTGAAAGGAAAGGAAGAAACAAAAGAGAAACTTAAAATTGAGAGGCTAGTATCATCCAGACAAAGACTATTTTATATGTACTAAAATATTTACTACAAATTCCATCCAATTCTTTGTAATGTATTTCTGGTTACTGGCTCAGAACAAGTTTTTATTAAGATTTTCATGCATTTTTTTTTGAAAGATTTTATTTATCTATTCATGAGAGATACAGAAGGAGAGGCAAAGACATAGGCAAAGGGAGAGGCAGGCTGCCCTCAGAGAGCCCAGGGTGGGACTTGATCCCAGATCACACCCAGAACCAAAGGCAGATGCTATAATAGCTTTATAACAGTTATTATAAAAGGTTATTAATTTACAGGGAATAAAGCAAAAATTTCTATATGGATGACATACTTCTTGTATTACATTATTGGCTGGTATTCCTTTGATTGAAGCCAAAATGGATAAGTTTTCTTCCACCGTCAAAACATCAAAATGTATATCTAACTGTGGACAAATGCCAATTATTTTTCTTGCTTCAAACATTTCGTCTATTTCTGAGACTCTGTGTCCATATATAGATGCAAATCCTAAAAGCAAAATATATATTTAAATTTATACTAACATTATTAAAAAGTATATATTCTTTTATATACACTAATAACTTAGTTACTTGTATATAGTAAATATATAAGGTAGGAGTTAATATAAACTTGGAAGACACAACAAACTCTCATTTCCATACTATTGGTGATGTGTTTACATCTTATATTCCAACCTTATTTTCCTTCATTGGTATTACATAGTGAAAAGATTAAGAGATCTTAACCAGAGCTTAACACTAAATACAACTGCATACTGGTACATTATTTACACTGACATTCTGGTAGCAATTTTCCTTCATTTCCAGGCATTATTCAGTAGTGGACAGAACAAAGAAACTAAGAATTTTCCCCTAACTAGGTATGTGTTTTCTGGAGAAAATCAATCTGAATTCCAGATTTTCTCTTCTATAAACTAAAGACAAATCTATAGCACTTAAATTTAAGAACTATTAAATCAATGTGATAATGTGTGGAGAATTCTAACAAAAATCATAAATTCCTATTAAATGTAAGATATCGCTACCACCATTATAAAGTGACACAATTAGGGATAAGCAACAAAACTAATTTCGAAAATTAAAATACATTTTAAAAATACAGATTCAATATATGGAAATTCAGCCTTTCTTAGAGTAAAATATTTATTGTACTACTGCTCTATTAGGTTATTGTGGAGCTGAGCTGCCATATTAAATTCTCACCTACATTTAAAAAGTATATGTTTAAGGTATTGCTCTTATAATTCCATTTTAGGAGATTGTGTTGATACTTATCATTCTTTCTTTTTGAACTGTTGTTGCATATTTAGAAATCTGTACTTACAATCTAAAATATCTATAGGTGTCATTTAATTTCCAATTAATTACTGATTTATCCTTCCTTGAAAATGAAAAATACAAAATATCTGATACAACAAGTAACAAAATCAGATCCTTTTTACTTTAGTAAACATGATTAAATCAATCATTTTTTATTTTCTATTGAAAAACAAATGTGTATTGTAAAAAAAAATAATAAAACACATTTATAGGCACTGAAGTTGATCTCAAATCACTGAAAAAATCAATCAGTACATGTTTGGATAAATCAAGGATAAAGAATAAATGATATGTATTTATATAAGTATAACTCAAGGACAAATAATGATATTGTAGTACCTGGGTTAATAACACTAATAAACCAAAGTAAGAGAATTTTTTTTAAGTCAGAAAACTCTCACCATCAGAGGGTGGGCATAGTCCACAAAGAATATTCATCAATGTACTCTTTCCTGTTCCACTGTGGCCAAGTAATGCAGTAATCTGACCCTCATATATGTCAAATGACAAACCTAGTTCAGAAAAAAAGACTCAAATGAGATTTTTATTTCTGTTGAGCTACGCAAAATAATACATAATACTTGAATAATCTTGAAATAAGTCAGTAGGTTTAATGATAGATTTAAAGTTATTAGCATATTTAATTAACAGCATAATAGTTAATATTATAGGATAAGAATTCCTTGTGACAGTGGTATGAACGAGTAAAAAAAAAGAAACTTATTTTTTGTTTATACTAACAGATTTTAAGAATACACAAAACACTGGGGAGGTTTTTGTGAACCTACTATTGGGACTTCCTAAGGTAATTAAAACAAATAAGGGACAAACAAAAATTTGTTCCCAAGGGTATTAATAAAGTTAAACATTGGCAGAAACCTAGAAATTAATCAATAACATGGGAATGGCTGAGTAAATGCTTGAGAAATTTAATTTAAATAAAAGAAACATAGGGTGCCTCAGTGGCTCAGTTGGTTGAGCATCCAGCTCTTGCTTTCATCTCAGGTTGTGATTTCAGGGTTGTGAGACAGAGCCCTGTGTTGAGCTCTATGCTCAGCAGAGAGCCTGTTTGAGATTCTCTCCCTCTGTCCCTCCTCCCTCTCATTCTCCTCAAATAAATAAATAAATAAATAAATAAATAAAGTAAAAAAAAATTAACTAACTAAAAGAAACATAAAATGAGTAACTATCACCAGATGGACATGTCAATGATTAAAAGAGGAAAAAAAATAGGGATCTGAACCAGCTAAGAATTACTGTAGACCCTGATCTGATGAAGGTGACCTGGGATTCTCAGTTATCCCTAAAGCTTCAGGCCTGGAGCAAAAATAAATCCTCTCTAGAGGAAGATCACATCATCCAGAGCATCAAATAATGTCTGCAATTTTCATATGCAATACACAGTACTCAGTAAAAACAACCAGGCAGGAAATAGTAAGAGATGATAAAAACTCAACAGAAAAAACAGGTGACAGAAACAGACCCAGAGGAGATGAAGATATTGACATCATAAGATTCTAAAACAGCCATGCCATCGTGCTCTAAAAAGAACATTGGCAAAGAACTAAAAACCATACAAAAGAACCAAGTGGCAAGACAAAAAGTGGAAAGGATAAGTGAAAAATATTTCCATACACAGTTTAATCAGGTTAGACCCAACTGTCATTAGTAAATGAAAAGAAACGTCATAAGAAAATATCTAGGCTCAGGGGTTTAGCGCCTGCCTTCAGCTCGGGGCGTAATCCTGGAGTCCGGGATTGAATCCTCCATCGGGTTCCTTGCATGGACCCTGCTTCTCCCTCTGCGTCTCTGCCTTTCTCTCTCTCTCTCTGTCTCTCATGAATAAAGAAAATCTGGGCAGCCCGGGTGGCTCAGCGGTTTAGTGCCGCCTTCAGTCCAGAGCATGATCCTGGAGACCTGGGATCGAGTCCCAGGTTTGCTTATGTCTCTGCCTCTCTCTCTCTCTCTCTCTCTCTCTCATTAATAAATTTAAAAAATCTTTTTTAAAATTTTTTAAAAAGGAAATATCTAGACTAAGGCATGGAGAGACAAAACAGTAAACAATTCAGAAAAGAGAATAAAAGACACCTGGGATAAAATGAAAAGTCATAAACCTATGATAATAAACCTAAAGGGAAGAAAAGAGAAAATAGGACAGAAGCAGTACTGGAAAACACTGGAAGAGAAATGACTGAGCATTTTTTTTAAACAGAAGACAGACATCAAGTCATAGATTCAAGAAGCACTTCTTTACCTGAAGTGGAATAAATGTAAAACAAGCACCACCAAGGCAAGTGGTAGTAAAACTGCTGAAAACCAAAAGAAAGGCTTTAAAAATGGCCAGGGTAAAATATATACCAACAACAGAGAAATAATAAAAGCAACAGCTGTCTCTTCAGCCAAAACAATGGAAACAAGAAGACAACAGATTACATTCTAAAGTGCTGGAAAAAAAAAAAAACCATCAAACTAAAATTATATATTCAGAGAAATATCCTTCAGAACGAAAGGTGAAAAAAAAAAAGATAGTTGCAAACAAAAACTGAGAGAATATATCATCAGTAGAACTACATTAAAGGAAACCGCAAAAACATTCTTTTCATGCATAAGGAAAATTATCCTAGATGGAAGATCAGAAATGCAGGAAGTAACAAAGTTAAATCATGTGGTAAATATATAGATAAATATAAGTGGGACAGTCTTTTAAAAACAACACTAATGACCATTATCTCTGGTTTAAAATGTATGTAGAATTAAAATACATGAAAGCAACAGTAAGTTGGACTAGAGATAAAAGGGATAAGTAGGGATAAAAGTAAGGTCCTGGACTTCCTTTTCTTGCTTTACAATTCTACAGATGCTATAAATTAGTAAAGCACTAATTTATAAGTCAAGAATACATTTCATATTATCAAGAGTAATTTCTAAAAAAAAGCATGTATAATTAAGAAGCCAACAGGGGGGAAATGAGAAATGGCACAATAAGAAATACTCAATTCCTTCCAGTCCAACTAGCCAATTGAGGGATGAGAGACCATATAAAAAAGGCAAATTATCCCACCTACAGTCTTCTAGACCAACTAGTCTATTAGCCAATTATATGCCCAGACCATCATCCAATCCCAGATAATCCACAAACTGATGGAAGAACTCCCCAGGCAAAGTGGAGATTCCTTAGCCATAGTAAAATAATGGTTGCCTTCAGCCATTGAGCATTAGGGTGGCTAAAATGTAATGATTAGAGATAGATAACTGATTCCATACCAAGAAGCTAGAAAGAGTGGAACAAATTAAATCCAAAGAAAGTAAAATTACAGAAATAACAAATAGAGTAACACAGCTCAATAATCCACAAAGCAAATATATGATAAAACCAAGTCAAAAGTTGATTCCTTGAAAGATTAATAAAACTGATAAGCCCACTGTAAAACAAATGAAAAAAATCACAAATTACTAAATGAAGAGAGAGAACATCATTACAGATTCAACAGACATTAGAAAGATTATTAGAAAGGAGATTATTATGAACAATCTATAACATCAATTTGGCAATTTAGATGAAATGGACAAATTCTTTGAAAATAACCCATCAAAAGACACTGTGGTGAAAATTGATAAACTAATTCTAATATTCTTCCATATAATTCTTTACATGCCAATGCAAAGTGCCCAAAATACAATATTTAAAGTTGTCAAGAGGTGCCTGGGTGGCTCAGTTGGTTAAGTGTCTACCTTTGGCTCAGGTCATGATCTCAGTATCCTGGGGATTGAGCCTTGCATCAGGATCCCTGCTCAACTGGGTGTTAATTCTGTATGTTGACAAACTGAACACCAATAAAAAATAAATTTATTATAAAAAAAAAAAGGAAGATGGCGGTAGGGCAGGTCCCACTGCCAACCTGAGGATGAATCCAGGAGAAGCAGCTCCAAGAGAACGCCCAAATGGGAACAGCACCAACATCACAATGTTTTAAGTATTAAATGAGGCAACGTGTATGAACTTCTCTTTGTAAAGTCTTAAATGTACAAAGATAAAATTTTATGATTCTTTGGGAACCAAAAGACCTGGCCTTGAATCCTACCGTGTTGTGCCACCTAAAAGCCATGTGATCTCTTTTTAAAATTTCTCTAAATCTTGGTTTCTTCATCCAGAAATGGCACTGATAACAGCTACTATCCACAGCATTCATGAGACTTAAATGATCAGGAGATACCACTTTGTGAACTGTAAAGTGCAAGCTAAAATAAATGTAAGTGAGTGTGGTAAAAAAAAAAAAAAATCCCTGCTCAATGGAGCATCTGCTTCTCCCTCTCCTCCGACCCTCCTCTCCGCCCCCTGCTTGTGCTCTGTCTCAAATAAATAAATAAAATCTTTAAAACAAATAAATATAGTTATCAAGACAAACTATAAAGCTACAATAGTCTAAAAAAAAGTGTAGAAGCAAGGATAAATAGACCAGTGGAACAAAATACAGTCCAGAAGTTGAACCACACATTTATAACCACTTAATTTTTTTCTTTTTTAGAGAAGGGTGGTAGGCAGAGGAAGAGAGAGAATCTTAAGTAGGCTCCACACCCAGCGCAGAGCCCAACTTGGGGCTCAATCTTACAACCCAGTTGATTTAATTTTCACAATAACAATATTGAGATACGGTTGACAAACTGTACATATGTCGAACAACCTGCTAAGTTTGATATGTGCATATAACCATAAAACCATCACCACTATCAAGATAATGAACATATCTCCACAAAAAGTCCTGCTTTAAAATGTATCCCCCTTGCCTGTTCTACCCACCTCTGCCCATCTCCAGGTAACCACTGATCTTTTTTTCACTAAATACTAGTTCTGCTTCTTTAATTTTATATGAATGTAATCATACACTATTACTATTTTATTTCTGGCTCCTTTCACTTCATAGAATTATTCTGATACAAGGCTCAATCCCAGGACCCTGGGATCATGACCTGAGCTAAAGGCAGATGCTCAACCAACTGAGCCACCCAGGTGCCCCTCTAATATAGGATTTTTAATTGTATCTGAATTTACTGAAATGTGAGTAAAGCTGACAGCCAACATTGAGTCATCTCACCCATGAATACGTTATCTCTCTCCACTTATTTCTTTGATTTCTTTCAGCAATGTTTTATTTTTCAGGGTACAAATCTGTTACATCTTTTGTCAGACTTATCTATATATTTTCAGATACTAAGATATATGCTATTTTTAATTTTCATTTTTAGTAATATATAGAAATATGATTTTTTCATATTTATCTTATATCCTTGTCCCCCTTGCTAAATTCATTTTAGCTCCACTAACTTATTTGTAGATCTAATCAAATTTTTTTAAATGGATACTCATATAAACTACAAATGCAGTTTCATTGCTTCTTTTCCAATTTGGATGCCTCCATAATACTGATAAATCATATCCAATCAGCTGAAGGCCTACAGAACAAAAACAGGTTTCCCTCAGAAAAGAGAATTCTGCCTCAAGACTGTATCATAGATTTCCAGCCTGCCAGCCTATCCTGTGAATTTTTTTTTAAGATTTTTTTTTAATTTTTTTTTATTTATTTACGATAGTCACAGAGAGAGAAAGAGAGAGAGGCAGAGACACAGGCAGAGGGAGAAGCAGGCTCCATGCACCGGGAGCCCGATGTGGGATTCGATCCCGGGTCTCCAGGATCGTGCCCTGGGCCAAAGGCAGGCGCCAAACCGCTGCGCCACCCAGGGATCCCAAGATTTTATTTATTTATTCATGAGAGACACAGAGAGAGAAAGAAGCAGAGACACAGGCAGAGGGAGAAGCAGGCTCCATGCAGGGAGCCCGATGTGGGACTTGATCCCAGGACTCCAGGATCAGGCCCTAGGCTGAAGGCAGGTGCTAAACCGCTGAGCCACCCAGGGATCCCCCTATCCTGTGAATTTTGGACTCAAGACTGCAACTTCACCTCTTACCTGAGTTTCCAAACTGCCACTCTGCCTTATAGATTTCAGATTTGTCAGACCCCACAATCATGTGAACCAATTTCTTAAAAATAACCTCTTCATTCCCTCCTTCCCTATCTCTCCAGGTCACCTGCTCTCTGTATGTACGTGTAGCTGTGTCTGTGTATATGTTCTATTCCTTCTGAAGAATCCTGACACCTTATTAAACATTCTACAATCTCAGAATAGTTCCCACAGCAAGTTAATTATCAGACTCAAAATGTCAGTAGTGCCGAGGTTGAGAAACCCTGTGCTGGGTCAAAAGGGAAAAAAATAATTAACATGTAAACACATGCACAATAATAAAATGAAAAAGGACACAGACTTGTTCAAAGAGTTGAATCTTTTTCTTTTTCTTTTTTTTTTTTAAATTTCATTTATTCATAAGAAAGCACAGAGGGAAATGGAGAAGCAGGCTCCCTGCCAAGCAGGACCCTGTGATCACAACCTGAGACGCTTAACAGACTGAGTCACCCAAGCACCTCAAGAATTGAATATTTTTCATCTTTAATAGAAACTACTTTTTCCTTTTACTATTTTGATGTTAATTTTATTTTTTTTAATTTAGTTTTTTTAAAGATTTTATTTATTTATTCATGAGAAACACAGAGAGAGAGAGATGCAGACACAGGCAGAAGAAGAAGCAGGCTCTTTGCAGGGAGCCTGACGTGGGACTCAATCCCGGGTCTCCAGGATCAGGCCCTGGGCTTAAGGCGACACCAAACCACTGAGCCACCCAGGCTGCCCTTGATGTTAATTTTATTATGAATATTAATCACATAAATAAAAGTACCCCTAAAAGAAAGAAAAGTGTGGTAAAGAAGTTTAATTTTCCCGCAAACAAGGAAAGCTACTTACTTCTCAAAGCATCCACATTTTCACCTTTCTTTCTGTATGTCTTCTGAATACCACTGATTCTGAAAAACACCATATTCTATTTAAGTATTTAATGCAATTTATAAGGATGTGTTTTCATGTATAATATTTTTATCAAAGCTGTCATATTTAATAGGAATAACAAAGTACCTTTCTACTAAAACAATTAACCTAAGAGAGCTGACAATGATTATAAAAATTTTAAAGAAACCACAGAAATATATACTATTCCTCTCCATTTTAAGTGTCACTCATTCATTTTTCATGACAAGCCAACTTTTATAAATAAAGCATATGGTTCAAGCAATTTATAGATTCCTTTTCATTTTTGATACTTTCTGCTTGTAATTTACCAAATACAAATATATATGGCTAAGGGAGATTAAAACTCAAATGCTGTATTTCACATCAGCACACATTTCAAACTATTTATAAATGTGAAGTGGTTCTCTCATTCCACTTTAAATGTCTTAAATAACTTTTTAAAGAATCAATGGTTTTGTTGACCAAGTTTAAACTTTGCCCTTTAGAAGACAGACCATTAGCTCACTCATTACATCCTAAGTATTTGGCTCTCCCTTGCTTTTATGTATTTTTCTTAAATTTGAAAAACACATTATAGTATACTTCACTTTTTCTTCCACTTTTATTTCTTTTCTCTTTCTTCTTCCTGTTATTTTTAAATTTGGTTTTGACTGATCTAGCAAGGCATAGTAGTGAATTTCCTGGTTCACAGAAATTAAACTGATATTTTACTTACCTCAAAATACCCAAAGATTTATGAAATTAACCAAGGACAATATGTCATATTGTTTAAGTCATAGCTTAAACAATGTAGCCTGAATAAAATTATAAAGTTAATATTTATTCTTTTTCAATCTACATAATGGAGCAAATTTGAAAATAGCTTAATTGTAAAATAACAGGTTTTACTACTTTTAAAAATTTCTATTGAAACAAAATTTCAAAACTAGCCATTATTTTAAATGGTTCAAAGAAAAGAACTTAAAGCAGAAGTAGGCAATAGTGTGCTTTAAAAATCATGAGATGTGTACCAAATCTCTTAAGATATATGCACTTTTTAAAAAACAGGATTTAAATGTAGCAGGTTACATCAATACTTCTTATACCTAAATTGCCAAAGATTAAATGATACCTTATAGCTTCTTTTCTTATACCTGTTTTTAAAAAACAGGATTTAAATGTAGCAGGTTACATCAATACTTCTTATACCTAAATTGCCAAAGATTAAATGATACCTTATAGCTTCTTTTCCCATAAATTCTGAAGAAACAGGCTCAACAATTTCACTAAAACTAATATTCCCATTAACATTGCCCTCTGATAACTCCTTATAATTTCTTTTGCTCTTTGACCAATATGATGGCTTTAGAAAATATAAAGATGATCTCCGTAAGCCAAATTCCCCTGGAAAATAAAAAAAAATTAATTATCATAACAAATTATTTCTAAAAACCAGGTTTCAAATCATCAAAGTAGTATGAGAAACATACAACCTAGATCTGAAGTTTACATAAAAAGCATTAAATCAGCACTGTGTGAAAAATATTTTATTGGCATAATTCCAGGGCATAAACAGTTTGAGACACTTAGAGTGCATGGGAATATGAAGGTGAGTGAAATACATTTTCCATTAAAGCAACTATTATCTTTATGAGTACATATATACAACAAATGGCTAGAACACAATGCAGAACATTATGCATGTCATCCATGGTGCTAGTAAGAGTTCAAGAGGAAAAGTTTATTTCTAGATAGGGAATATATCCTGAAGGCTTAAATGAATATCATCTTAGAAAGTCTCTGAAACAGCTAGTATTTAATACTTAGAAAAGTGGATATAGTTCACAGAGAAGACTTTAAAATCAGAAGAGTAACACAGCTACAGGACAGGCATAGAAGACTTAGACATGGTAGACATTGATGGTTCTCACATAGTATATAACCATTCTCACCTCCTTTCCCCCAAAACCGACATTCCCATTTTTTTTAAATAGCCACTCCTCTCCTAGATGGTCATGTCTGATCTGATCCCAACTACAGAGAAGACCCTAACTGATCTAATCAGTATGTTGCACTCTCAGATGACTTACTGCTCCAGGCATAAGCATGTAACAATTAGACAAAAGCAAAGGGTTTATTTAGGTTGGGGAAAGATTCATCCTCCCTCTTCCCATCCTCCCTGTTCCCATGAACAAAGACGCATACCACTGTAGCCAGAAGGAGAGCAAACCTGCCACGCAGACACAGGTGGCCAAAGTATGGAGAAAGCGGGTCCCTGACGACATAGTTGAGCAGGTCAACCAACTCAGAGCCTATCTCTGGACTTCCTTTTAAGTAAAATGATTGATTTCCTTCTTGTTTAAGCCAATTAAATAGTTTTCTGTTAAGAGTAACTAAAAACAATCTAACTGATATCCTGGAGCTGTGTTTAAATAGGTAAAGAGGATTGTATGGAGAAATATAAAATACAATAAGGAGGGAGAGAGTGAAAAGAAGGCATTAAATATATAAAACTATTGTGAAGGACATTAATATATAAGGAGTTTCTATTTAATTCATGGGGATATGCCCTGAGAGGTGATTTCTGAGGAGATTAACTTGATTAAAGAGAAAGGTGAAATTTTAGACTGAAGGCAGATAATGAAATGAGAGGTATTACAAAGATGTAGACTGCCCAACCTATCCCTCTGCAGTGATGGAAATGTCCTGTATCTGTACTGCACAACATAGCAACAGCCACATATAGCTATGGAGCAGTCGGTCGCAAGGTGACTTATGCTATGGAGGAAATGGACTGTTAATTTTTTAAATTCTAATTAATTCAAATTTTAAAAGCCATTTTTGCCTAGTTGTTATTAAGTGCAGGTCTAGAACACAGACAAAAGTAATGAGGAACTCAAAGGGGAAGGTCAAGGGAGTGTTAGATACTTTAACAGTACTTTGAATCTACAGGAGTTGGCTAGAGATGCCAAAAGATAAGGAGAATGGTAGGAGTTACAAGATTACTTCATAGTTTTGTACCTTAGAGGGCAAAACAGTGAAATACTTTAGCCAAGAAACATTGACACAGGGAAGGACAGAGATAAATTCAGTTAGAGACTTAAATGTTTTCAAAGCAAACTGCTTATATTCATGAGTGGTTAAGACACAGGTACAGGGCAGCCCGGGTGGCTCAGCAGTTTAGCGCCGCCTTCAGCCCACGGTGTGATCCTGGGGTCCCGGGATCGAGTCCCACATCAGGCTCCCTGCATGGAGCCTGCTTCTCCCTCCGCCTGTGTCTCTGTCTCGATCTCTCTCTGTGTCTCTCATAAATAAATAAATAAAGTCTTTAAAAAAAAAGACACAGGTACAAAACATACTTATTTGAAATTAAGTTAAAAGCTTGAACAACAAATGTGACTTGGGGTTACTCTGACTTAAAAAAAATGAGATTAAGTTGACCCTATGTAAGCAAAAACACTAAAAAAATCTTTAAAGTAAAATCCAATAACTACCTGCATACCTGGAATGACTTGATCAAGATAGACAGCCAAGAGGACATAGAATATACTATTAAGCGCTAGCATGACAATAGTAATAATTAGAGGATATGGGCCTTCGGTCAAATTAGAAAATAAAGCACCTTCATTAAAATCTTCTAGGTGCATGACCTGAAAAACAGAAACAACTTTAGTATATAAAAATGATAAAAATAAGCAAAAGCTAATACTACTTGGAATTACTCATAATTACCTAGATTGGTAGTAACCAAACTGGGCCTTTTAACAGATTAAACAATCTACCAAATCAGTAGTATGAATTTACAAGGAAAACAACAGGAATTTTACCAAAATATAAGTTTATCACAACAATTCATTTGAATCCTTTTTAATGTTATGTTTCTAAAACTAGTACACTTCCACTCCTAGGGCTTTTAATTCTAATGCGATGACTATCTAAAGAAATAACAAGAAAATATGCTGTTAATATTAACTGATGCAAACAAATGGTCCACATGGAAGTCAAACAAATAAAAATTAGAGAATAAAATTATGATCAGCATCCTTTCAATGCTGAAAAGGGAGAAGATATTCTGATTAACACAACTATTAGATTGTTCATAGTAGATATAGGTAAGGGAGCAGAAAGAAATATACTAGAGGCTGAGGCCTCATTTATGTCCCAGATCTGCCATTAGGTGGATTAAAAACTTGAATCACACTGCTCTAAATCTCGGTCTCCTCATCTGTGAAATAAAGGAGATGGGTTAAATAAATGCTGAAAGCCCTTCCCACAACCAACAAAATCCTAGGAATCTATTATTCTATCTCCCAAGTGAAGGAGAACTCAGTGGACTCTTAAAATGTGTAAACAACAGTTCTTAGTTCCAACTTAATTAAGACTTGTTTAATTCAATGTTCATAAACAATCTTAGAGCTCACAAATCAGAATATTCTATCTAATAAACATGACTCATCTCTTATATTAAGTAATTACAATTTTTCTTTATACATTAACCAAATTTATGTTCCTTTATATAAGGCAGTTTCTCCTAAGAATTTTTCCCTTAGAATCTGATGGCCCCTGTAAAGGCTAATAAAAATCAAATTAAAACTTTCAAAATAAATATTATTTAGGTGAATGACAATCCCATGAACATTAAAGCAATAAAATCCACCAGGTCTACTTATTTCACTAAGACAGTCATGAGAATTTGTTTTGCTCCACACACAATTTCCTGCCAGGTACACATCTGAGATAAATTTACAAAAGCAGCAATGTAACCAGCTCATAGAGCAATCCAGACTGCCTGATGTTTAAACAATGATGCCTAACAAATTGAATTATTGCAGTGAAATAGATTACTAAGACATACTAATGCACAAAGTAGAAAACTTATAAACAGATCATTTAACGAAAACTTAAAAATGGAGAAAATGTAAATAAAACCCAGATAAAATATGCTCCAATATTCAAGTAGCATTCCTTTCACATGTGGACATTTTAAAATTTCTTTGAAAATCCAAAGTAGTACGCATTGTAGTATAACAGGCTACACATAACTGAAGAGAAAAAATATTTAGTGAAAGCAAGATAAATATATTACCTACCTGTGCTATACCGATTAAAAAAGTACACTGACAGAAAGGACTGAAAAGCCACACTAATGATTTGGGAAAACTTTCCATGAGGACTATCAAAAGACCAACAAATCCAAAAGCCACAGTGACCAAAAATTCAACTATTCCCACATGTTTTGATTTTTTAAAAAGAGGTGTCAGCATTAAAGCAAAAAATATCTGTAAAATATAAATATTAAGGTTAATGCATTTTATGAAAACAAAATTTTGCTTGTGAAAGAACCAGTTATTTTTGTTGGAAAATACATTCATTAAAATAATTTTTAAATGCAATGGTAAGGTATTTTATTTTCACGTAAATTGTAATACATTAAAAAACTTAAGATGGTAAGCATTAAACACTCCATTTTACCTATACATAGGCAAACGTGATTACTTCTACACTACAGAAACCATAAACAGCTATGTTTCTGCAGTTAGGTGAGTACATATGTGAACAAAACATAAATCAACCAGCTTTTAAAGAGAGAACCTATCTCTTAAACTCAATCTGTTTACAAGATACAAAATCAAGTAACTGTACACAGAAGCCTGAGTTGTTTGTAAGTTATGTTATTTAACGTAAAGATGATCATCAGAAAATTTAACAGCTGGTACAGCATGGGCACACAAGCCAGTCAAAATGGAAACTGGAACCAGTACAAAGGCTGACTTCAGCCAATATACCAAAGAACATCAACACTGTCAAAAAGTTATGTTCATAAAGGTATACTTTTATAAATCATCACCCTATAATATAAATTAACTTGAAACAGGATTTCATGAAAAAAAAGGGATTTGAAAAATGTCCAGTACCAGACAACCTTAATTATACACATAATGTGATTATATGAAGACAATAAAGATTCAGTGAGATTGTATATGAAATATATTATATGAAAACAAATTTAAACTTGAGACTACTTGGTACCTTTTTTAAAAATACAGAAGTACAATAATGCTACATACAATTCATTTAGCAGTAACCTAGTAATAAATCAACTACAAGTTAACCAAAGAATAATACTTTGTCATATTAATCAGCTATTTTGACAGTTCTTTATTCCCACTTCAAGTTAAAATACTCACAGATGATAACCCATACAGGAAAAAAAGTAGAAATATCACAACGCAGCTACTTTGAGGGAATAACGAAGAAGCTGTTGCAATGACTGCCATAAGAAGGGACATAAGAAAAATCAAACTTGTATACAGAAGAACCCAGGAAAGCCTAAAATGAGAATATAAACACATTTATGGTTAAATGCATACGCTTTATCAGTTTAAAAATCATTTCAAAAAAACCTTCAGGTTTTTTTAGCCATTTTATCCTTAAAGTTAAGTGTATTTATTCTTTCCTGTGTATAGTCATTTACTGAGAATTAATGCTCTTATAAGTAATTAAAAATACAACATTGGTTAAGTTAAAGGTAAAAGTATAATCTGACAAAGAGATAAAAAAGTGATTATCTTTTCAAGAGTCAAAGAAAAGTTTACAAATTAAAAACAATTCATGACTAATTTAATATTCTCCAAAGTTCGATAATGCACGTTTCTGATTTTCTTAAAATATCGAAGAGTTTAATAACAATTTTCTTATGGCCTGGGCTATAACTAAACCTCTTGACGGCTTTTGATACTTTACAACAACACTAATCAACTAATCACACTTTATCACTTATCAACAACATACTTTACATTTACACAACAAAAGATCAAGATCAACAATGGACTCCAGATATATACTCAAAATTTCTTCCCAAATCAGAGTTCAATGGAATTGCTACAGCACTTAGATTTGTTGCTTTTTAATGTAAGCAGATCATGATTTAATATGTGCTACCACAAAAGCACTGAAATAGGACTGAAGGATATCTACATTACCAAAACCAACTCCATCATTTTCCAGAAGCAAAACTGAGGCACTGAGAAATTGATCTGCCTAAATGCTTCCAACTACTGCTTCCTCACAAAGCACTTTAATAATTCAATGCATCTTAAAAACCAATCACTACCCAAATGACAGAAGAAAAAAAAACATGCAAAGAAAATACGTTACACAACAATGACTCCATTATGTAAAGTGTTATAATTGATTGCTACATTGGGCTAAATAAAATAAAATTTTGTAAAATGGACTATAATAGCAACTCATATGCACAATATTAACTTCTCCTCCAAAATGAGTTCAAAATAAATTTTCCTACTACACAGTGGGAAAAGGAAAATTCACTAAGAATTATTTATAAAACTGCACACCTCTATAAAATCATCATTATATAAAAATGCTGACACGTGAAAGCTCATTTGTGAAAATATTTTTCAAATTTGTTTCTCTATAAACTATTTTGTATATTTTCATCTTAATTCACATAAATAACTGTTTTCCCCAGGGGGGAAAAATCCCATATACCACACTCACAAACTTTAATCATTTTATTTTTTTTATTTTTTTTTAATTTTTATTTATTTATGATAGTCACACAGAGAGAGAGAGAGAGAGGCAGAGACATAGGCAGAGGGAGAAGCAGGCTCCATGCACCGGGAGCCCGACGTGCGATTCGATCCTGGGTCTCCAGGATCACACCCCGGGCCAAAGGCAGGCGCTAAACCTCTGCGCCACCCAGGGATCCCAACTTTAATAATTTTAATTACATTTTTAATAACATTCATATGCTATGATTTTGGAGGAGGACTGTAACACACAACTAATTTCTAACTTTCCAAGATCTCTTACATTCTATATACCGAAATACACAAAGCACACCTCATCAATTAAGACAAAATATAAAATAAAATTTAAACATGTAATATCAACATGAGTTTTTCAAATACCACTTCCCTTATGGTAAAAAAAAAAAAAACAAAACAATATATTGCTAAAGCTTGTTGCCTACTCTCATATTCCAAGACAAAGGTAGTCATTGCAGGTAAACAGGATCAGCACCTCAGATTGAGCAAATAACAAATTACAACACTGAAGATCTTTATACTTAATTACTAATCACACTAAACAATAAACTTTTAATAACATACCAAAAGGCAGTGTCATGAAGTCCCATTATCTTTAAAAACTCCTTTAACTTCTTCTCTTTTTCTGCTACGATATGAATGGCCAAAAAGTATCCAAAAGGTGAAAATGCTATAACTAGGTATATTAAAATTACTCCTCGGGGAAAGGTATCTATCTCAACCACAGCAGTTTCTCCCATAATGACAGCTTTAGTTGATTCTAGTTCCCTCCAGAAGGAAACATTGGTCTTCAGCTAGAATTGGAAAATACAAATACAATCAATGAATTTAATTCTGACAGAGGCCCCCTATAAAATATGACAAATATACCCCTAAATGTAATACAAACCTATTGGAAATACAATCCTCAAAAACCACACCTGAAATAAAGTGACTGACCCCAGTATCATGACACACACAGCATACATTATTGTTTTTATTCATTCTGGAAACATACCATTAAGTCTGTAGTTGGGAAGTGTATAAATGTTGATGAAATAATTTGTCGAAGAAAATAAATTGAACAATTATCAGTTATATACATCTTAACAAAAATACGCACTTCTAGGGCAGCCCGGGTGGCTCAGCGGTTTAGCGCCGCCTTCAGCCCAGGGCGTGATCCTGGAGACCCGGGATCTAGTCCCACCTCAGGCTCCCTGCATGGAGCCTGCTTCTCCCTCTGCCTGTATCTCTGCTTCTCTCTCTCTCTGTTTCTCATGAATAAATAAATAAAATCTTTAAAAAATATATGCACTTATAAAATTGAGGAATTAGGAATTATTAGCACCATGTTATTTTTATTCAAGGGGAAAAGTCTGTAAATAAAGACCTTTCATAAATATTACCTATGGTCAACACAGATACAATACAGATATATGGAATGCTAAGTCACATGCTTAGAAACCATCAAATAAAAGTGGGGTTTGAAAAATATTACATCAGAAAGTACGACTTATATTTTTTCTTTTAGGAGCTGTAATATATATCTAGTACATCTAACTGCACACAAACCAAATCTTAACTGTAAAAACTTAGAGCGTAATTGCTAAAATATGGTTTGGCTTTATTTTACTTCCTTCATCATATTTACCTGTATAATGGCAGCATCTATGGATGCTTGTAAAACTGTGAACCCTGAGGACCAGTACTGAGCAGCCTCACACGATGTTGAACAGCCAGCTATGGGGACAAAATGTGAGACATATTTGCACAACAACTAAGTGCATTCTTTTAAAGATAACATATGGAGGGTTACTAAAGCAATATAATTAATCAATCTCCATAGAACCCAAGAAAATGAGCAATTGCCCTTTGAAGGCAAGGAATAGCATGTTCCTGATTATCTACTTGAAATTTTTGAAATAAAAGAGTTACATAGAAAGAAATTAACTGTAAACATGATTATTTAAAAATAACTCACTTTTCTGTTTCAAGTAAGTCACTCTACAGTGACTTAATCAGATTTAAAGCACTTCTAGTTCCCAGGACAAGTCCAGGTTAAGAGCCCAGAAAAAGAAATGTTCTTAAGGGCTTTTTGGAACCAAGTCACAAATTCAGTACTCATCATTAAGAGACTTTAACATTGCTCAGTAAACATTTGTGCTTAGTGGTATTTCTTCATAGGTTTAAGCACTGAAGGATGTTTTCCATGATATCAACATAAAACTAATAAAGTTCATTGGTACCAGACCTTGAAATTTAAATGATATGTAGCACACCACATGTGAAAAACAGTTATGTATATATAAAAAAAAAGTTATATAGAGGAAAAAATGCCAATTCAGAAAGTCATACAACTCAAGATAAAATTCTGCCTTCTGTTACTATAATTAAAATAATATATAAGTATATTAAAATGCATGTTATGTAAGTTATATTTCATATTACATGTAGATATTTGTGTATACATATATATGCTACATCTGACAGTCTTCTTCTGTAAACAACTACACAGTTGAAAATGCCAGTGTTTGACCACATCAAATTTTGCATATGAAATAAAAGCAGCAAAGACATGCATTTATTTGATTTACAACATTACTTAGGGCTATTTACCTCTTGAATCCATATAAATAGAAGATACTGGAATCATATCAGGAAAAAAACGGAGTTCATAGGACATGAAGTCTTTGAAAACCACACCCACAAAGTTGTTGGGCTTAGAAAGACTGGATACTAACAATTCTTTTTCATTTGCATATTCTTCAGTAATTATGACTGTAAAATATTATAATAAAGTTGACTCACAAATTTAAAGTTTACTGCCAAACAGGCCAAATTTAACATGACGTTGATGAATACAATATTTTATAAGCACTTTTGTTTCATTCTTTCAAGAAAATAGAGCCATTCTAAAAATATACTAAATAATAATGAATAATAGTATAATTTCACACTTTCTCAGCTGTCATCTGAGTACAGAAATTATGTACCTATGTAACACAAAAGCTATTAATATGACAGAGTTTAGCATATAGTTTATTATGCAGTATATGCAGTTCATTTGTCTATTTCAAAGTAAAGCATACAAATAACTCCTTGATAAGTGAATGGATATTTTATTTTCCAATTTTTCTTCTGAAGAAAATTCCATTATCCTTCTTCTCAGAAACCAAATATGTTCTCTGGTAACTAAGACACAACTCTCCTTTGAGTAAAAATTGCCATTTCAATCACTTATTGCTTGTTCCTTTCCTAGAAGATATATGGAGAAAATAATCTCTACTGCACTTCCTTTCACATCAGATGATCCCAATTTTTTAATATTTTCTCAGAGTTTTATTTACAAGCAACTAGTCTTCACTACAGAAGCTTAAGAACATGTGGTAAAATGTGAGAACATAGGATTATGTGCTTAACTGTTACTTATTAGCTGTGTGAACAAAGCTAAGCAATTTAATTCTCTGAACTTCAGAGTCCTCATCCTTAATGCCTAACTGATCACACTAGTTGTTAAGATCAAATGCAATTACAAACATAAAAATGCTCTATAAATTATAAAGTGTTATTTCAATGTGAATTGTCATGATTTCCAGACCTTTAGGGTGGACAAGGATTGAGCTGAATAAAGAGGGTAGTAGTTCAACATCTTACCAGTCTACCATATATATGGATTTGTGTTCAACTTTCAGACAGTTCTATTGTTAAAAAGACAGAACTTAAAAAAAATCTATATACATATTTCTACTATTTTAGCATCCAAGTTAATACATACTGACTTGGATTCTGTTGGTGTATATGCTTTCCTCTAACTCAGGATTACCTGAGAATTTCATTCTCAACATTTCTGATCAGCTTTTCGAGCTGGCATGCTAAATGTTTATGGCTATCCATCCAATTTGTACTTAGGTAAACCAACAAACAAATACCAATAAGATATTAAATAGTAATAAGTCAGAAGGAAAACAACCGGGGAAAAATTATCTGGCTCCTGATTACATAAGCATCATCTATTCAGTGATATATTATCCAAATCTATGATGATACATACTCAAAGTTAATTAAAACTATCTAAGACAAAATGTTAATTTGTTATTTTCAACAATTTAGTATTTCATTACATTAATCATCATAGTATAAACTGTCACTTTCTCGAATTCTTTTTTTTTATAATTTATTTTTTATTGGGGATCCCTGGGTGGCGCAGCGGTTTATCGCCTGCCTTTGGCCCGGGGCACGATCCTGGAGACCCGGGATCGAATCCCACATCGGGCTCCCGGTGCATGGAGCCTGCTTCTCCCTCCGCCTGTGTCTCTGCCTCTCCCTCTCTCTCTGTGTGACTATCATAAATAAATAAAAATAAAAAAAAAAAAACCAAGACAAAAACTACCAAAAATTAAAAAAAAAAAATTATTTTTTATTGGTGTTCAATTTGCCAACATATAGAATAACACCCAGTGCTCATCCCCTCAAGCGCCCCCTCAGTGCCCGTCACCCAATCACCCCCACCCCCAGCCCACCTCCCTTTCTACCACACCTAGTTCGTTTCCCAGAGTTAGGAGTCTCTCATGTTCTGTCTCCCTTTCTGATATTTCCCACTCATTTTTTTCTTTTCCCCTTTATTCCCTTTCACTATTTTTTATATTCCCCAAACTTTCTCTAATTCTTGTCTTGGGTTCTCTCACAGCCACTTTAGGCTCATTAGTATCACATACTTACACTGTTTCCCGTTTCCCACTCTATTCTTAAAAGAAGTACAAACAGAGAAAAATAGACTTAGGTGCTTAGCCACAGTCACAGTCTCCAAAGCTAAGCACTACTTCTGTTTATACCATATACCTCCATAAACGGGCATGACAGGCTGAAATGATTATTGCTTAGTAATCTTCATACCTCTACCTTATTTTTTTAAAGATTTTCTTTATTTATTCATGAAAGACACAGAGAGGCAGAGACATAGGCAGAGGGAGAAGCAAGCTCCCTTCAGGGAGCCTGATCCAGGATTCGATCCCAGGTCCTCAGGATCACAGTCTGAGCCAAAGGCAGGTGCTCAACCAATGAGCCACCCAAGTGCTCCTATACCTCTAGCTTATTATATGAGTCAGGATAAAAAAAAAGATGCCTTCAAATCTTTTATCCTTTTACAAATATGCTTATTTTATAAATGGTCTGAGAATTAAATATAAAATATTAAGACAGGGCACCTGGTTGGCTCAGTTGGTTAAGCGTCTGCCTTAGGTTCGGGTCATGGTCCCAGGGTCCTAGGATCAGACTGCGTGTTGGGCTCCCTACTCAGTGGGAAGCCTGCTTCAAACTCTCCCTCTGCTCTTCCCCCCTGCTCATTCTCTCTCTCTCAAATAAAATTTAAAAAAATAATAATAAGACCTACAAAACATGCTTCAGCAGGATTAAATGATTTTAGTAATTTTTATTAAACTATATTTTGGTGAGGGGACATATCTCTAAGTGTTCAGAATGTAATATACTCAATAAAGCAAGTAAAAAATACTGTTATAGATAGAATCCATATATAAGCTCACAATACCCTCAGGAAGATGATCAGTAGAAACTTTTTGCATGATGTTTCTTGTAATATTAGTCACTGGAGTATATCCAAGTATTAAGTTAGACAGAACAGATTTGTCCATAGGATTAAGTTCTCTATCAGGCACTTCTTCATATTTCTTATTTGGATGCATCATGCTAATTAATATTAACCAAAATAAAAAAAATAGTGGAAAAAGAATTTCCTGTAATAAAGGAGACAAACAAGATGATTATATAATATACCAAAAGCAGCAAATATCATCAAGATTTCTATGCAAACAATATACTAAGCAAAAACATGAGGAATTTGGGTCTCCTTTCTTAAGCACAAAAAGTAAAAGCAATTCTATCCTGAAAGAAGTATTGTGTTAAGTATCTCATCTAACTCAACAGGAATATTAGACAATTTTTCCTTTACATTTTCACCAAAATATTTTAAAATTCAAGTCACATAAATTAAAATCACATAAACACTAATACTTAAAGATCTTAGATTACTAAATATAAAATATAATAAATTTCTTATATATAACATTGTTTAAATTAACTTACAAAACAGCCCAAACTGGGCTCACCATAAAAATATCTTCACTCAAATATGATTTAAAAACTCATGCCTTAATTATGCCTCAATTTCTACAATTAAAACTATTCCCTGTAAAGTTAAATAATCAGCTTTAATAGGGATGAACCTGTTTCACCTTGCTGTTTAGCTGTTATGCTGGCTTCAGAAAAGGAACAATATATTTTCAGCCTTTAAAATTTTTAACTGGTTAGGCAGAGTTATTACTTTCTTTTATCTTTCAAAGTAATGTATATTTGTTGAGAACAAACATGTGACATAATTTTAGTAATCTCGGGTAATTCAATCCAGAGTCCAAAAGATGGGAAGTCATGGGGAATAAACTGTGGAAAACTGTTCCATAAAGTTATCTGTGGAATTTTTCTTTCATTCCAGAAAACCTGGGACATGCACATCTAAAAGCTCAAACTTAAGCACTGATATCAGAAATTAACTAAATTTAGGAATGGTTATTAAAACTTTTAACATTCAGAAGACATAGGTAATTTAGGTAGTTTTCTGCACTAACACAAGTTTTTATTTCACAAGCACATGAGACCTAATGACATAAAATTGTAATAAAAACATACTGAGAAAAATAGATCCTCTCTTAGAAAGGGAACATGTCAGTGCAAAAACTGCAATCAGGCATAAGAAAGAGTCATTTAACTTACCTGAACACTACTTTTTTTAGTCCTGCATTTGATTAGATAATTCTTCAGTAGGAGTGTTCTGGTCTGTCTCCAAACTCCCACCTCCCTAATTGCAGTAGCCATGTTTTCTAGATCAGTCTATTAAAAGAGTAAATGAAAAAAACTGGAACCACACAGTCAAATGCATGCAATTCAATAGCAAAAATAGATGTTTCAGTTTCAGGTTAGATAAAATGATGAATACTCCAAGCTGTCTCTCCTGTCTGGACAGAATGCATTAAACAGCAATTTGACAACACTGAAATAGTAAATAGTAGCATGTGAAACAGAGGGAATCAAAATTCAAAATCCCCACAACCAACACTGAGCTCACCACTTTGTGTCTTTTGGTATTCCCCAAACCGAATGCACTGGAAGTAGGTATTAAGGCAGAGAAGGCAAGGCCCAAAAGCTCTCTAGTTCTGGCTTGAGACATCGGAAAGGAAAGTTTTCTGCTCAGGGAGAATGAGAAAATACCCCACCTTTTTTTCTTTTCTACATTCTCCTATGCCCCGATCTTCAAGCAATCACATGACAGCATCAGACTGCAATAAGGAAAGCCCAATGCAGCCCAAACTCTGAGGCAGGGAAATCTTTCTCTCCAGTAAGTGGAGCTATAGCTCCAAAAGGGTGGGGCCAAATCCCAAGGTGATCTCTATCTCCTGGGTCCTGGATATGGTTGATGGATGCAAGTTGTCCAAGTGTGTGGTCCAATAAGGCAAAAACAACTCTAGCATTCTAGCTGCAGGATGGAAATGAGAAGCTATAGGGAATTCGAAAGTAGTAAAGGGAAAGCAAATAAAAAGAAGAGCTCAGGAAAGCAACATAATAAAGTTGCTCATTAATTCCAGGACTAACTCCCAAGCTGGGCACAAATGGATCTAATCCTATTCTGTGTACCAAAGACCTGAGGAACTAAACTAAAAGACAGACTACTGCCAGATCCAGACCAATCATCAGGTGGCATACACAGGACAGATCCAAATTGTTCTACAAGGGTTTTTGAAAACTAAGCTGAGGGGCAGCACCTGGGCAGCTCAGGCGGTTAAGCATCTGCCTTTGGCTCAGGTCACGATCTCCAGGGCCTGAATTGAGACCTGCATCAAGGCTTCCCGCTCAGCGAGGCATCTGCTCACTTTCTCTCTCTATCTCTCCCTCTGCCCCTCCCCACTATTCGTTCTCTCTCTCTCAAATAAATAAAATCTTTTTTTAAAAAAAAGGCTTTTGAAAACTAAACTGAAATTAGATCCACAGCTCAAAGAATGCGGATGAAACCTGTGACCTGAACCTAACCAGGATGACAGCATGCTAGAAGAAAGTATCAACACTCCCCATATAATCAAAACAAAACCCAGTCTCAATCCAAAACAACTCAGAAAGAGAAGTTTGTGAAAAATATCACCTCTATTAAGAAAAGAAAAATCAACAGATGGCAATGTCAAGACGACAGACTCTGGAGTATTCAGACGAAAACTTTAAAGTACATACTTAAAAAGTATTCCAACAAACAATGGTAAACACTCTTGAAAATAATGAAAAATTAAAAAAAAAAAGATGTAAAGGAACACCAAATAGAAACTTTAAGAACAGAAAATGAGTAACAAATAAAACCCATGGAATGGGCTCAACAGAGATAACAGAAAAAGTCCGTGAATTTTACAGACTAATAGAAGCTACCCAATCCAGACCACAGAGAGAAAACAGGTTTTTAAAAAAATTAACAGTGCCTAAGAGAACGATGGACAATAACAAAGGTCTAACATTCCTTATCAGAGTTCCAGAAAGGAGAGAAGAAAGACTGTTAGTGATAAAAAAATATTTTGGGCAACAGATACAAAATCTACAAGTTCCAAGAAGCTTAATGAATCCCAAACAGTATCAATCAGAGGAAATCCATATCCATACACATCATAATCAAACCATTAAAAATTAAAGACTAAAAAATCTTGAAAGCACTCACAGAACAACCACACATTACCTATACAGGAATAATGAATGACTTGAATGAGAGCAGATTTCTCATAAGAAATTCTATGGCAAAACTAGAAAACTCCTACACAGCTAGTGGGAGTGCTGGTTCAGCTGCTAAAAAGTTTGTCGGCTCCTCAAAAAGTTAAGCACAGAATTACCATATCGCCCCACTATTCCATACACACACACACACACACACACACTCACCCAAAAGAACACTTCTAGGTATATACACCAAAAAACTGAAAACAGGGAATCAAACAAGTGTCTGCTCAGGCAGGTTCATTGCAGCACTATTCATAATTGCCAAAGGTAGAAACAGTCCAAATGTCCATAAACAGATGAATAGATAAACAAATTGCAACATACACACACGCACACAGAATTAAATATTATTCAGCCATAAAAATGCATAAAGTACTGATATATGCTATAAGGATGAAACTCCAAATCATTATGCTTAATGAAAGAAGCCAGACGCAAAGATCAAATATTATGTGATTCTATTTATATGAAATTTCCAGAATATATAAAGCCATAGAAATGAAATGGAGGTTAGTGCTTGCACAGACTGAGGAGAGGATAGAGAAAAACTGCTTAAGGAGTAAGGGTAATTTTACTTTGAAGTGAAGGAAACAAATTTCACTTTTTTTTTTTTTAAACAGTATGATGTAGGGGCACCTGGGTGGCTCAGTTGGTTAAGTGTCTGAATTCAGCTCAGGTCAGGATCTCCAGATTGAGCTCCAAGGCTGGCTCCTTGCTCAATGGAGAGTCTACTTGACCCTCTGTCCCTCCTTTAACTCATGTTCTCTCTCAAATAAATAAAATCTTAAAACAAAAACAAAAACAGTATGCCCTAAATCATTGTCACAGGTCCAGTATCCCTTATCAAGACTATCTTTACCCTTGAAGGTCCTTGGAGCTCTTTCTGCCGGTGGACCTCTGCTGGAGCTATCTCAATTTTTCAGAGGTTATATTAAACTCAATAGAAGTGGCCAGAGTCTAAACTGCAATCTCTGTGGTCTTTATTCCAGTTTGCTTATCTCCGTAATCTAGACTCTACACACCAAAGGGTATTGAGAGGGCAGCTTGAAAAAAACAAGGGAGGGATCCCTGGGTGGCACAGCAGTTTAGCGCCTGCCTTTGGTCCAAGGTGCGATCCTGGAGACCTGGGATCGAATCCCACGTCGGGCTCCCTGTGCATGGAGCCTGTTTCTCCCTCTGCCTGTGTCTCTGCCTCTCTCTCTCTCTCTCTCTGTGACTATCATAAATAAATAAATAAAAAATAAAAAATAAAAAATAAATTTTAATTACACAATTAGACATACTGTAGAATATATTAAATAAGTAAATTAAAAACAGCAGAACTAATAAAGGAGTCAAGAATGGAAGATACGTTGAAAATAAATTCTCCCAACAGCCTCATTCATATCATATCAGATTCTGTAAAGAACTGATGATAATCATCTCTAGGCCAAAAAAGGAACAAAGAAAAAAGAAAAATTACACTCATTCAAGGATGATTTACTACAACACAAGAGAAACATTAACCAGTACACCAAGAACATTCTCATTATCTGCCCAAACACATTGATTTAGTGGGTACCAATAAATTATTCATTCAAATTGAATGCTGCATGCTTAAGTCTTCATTTTCAGAAAATAGGCCCCTCATAAAGGTGCTTATGGACTCATAAATGTTCTTCCTCCTTGAGAACTACTTCCTGAACTCAGGGTTTTATGTTTAACAGGCTTATCCAAAGTTCATCAATACGTGTACCCACTCCACCACTAGTCAGGGCTTTTTACAGCAAAATTTACTTTTAACCTCTGATATGGTAAACAAAGGCAGAGTGAAGTGCAGATAAAATTAAATGTCCTCATAACCCACAGCCCACTGACAAATAATTTGAGGCAGGCAGAGCATAAGTTCCTCCAGGAAGCTCCCAACTATCTTAACCTTAATGCCATACTAGAGGGGAAAAACTATCTCAGTTAATAGCCAGGCCTCCACCATCCTGTGAGTCTTCTTTAGCATATGAAAATCCTTCTGAATCTTCCCCATCTTTACTTCCCCAACCCCAAAGTATATCCCCCTCACAATCCCAAAAGCAGCAGCAATTCCTGCCCTCAGGTCTTATCCCCATACTTTGATAAAACCATCTTTTTGCACCAAAGACGTCTCTATAGTTCTTTCTTGGCTGTTGGCTCTGGATCCCAACACTACTCCAAAAACATCACCCTCTACCCTCTCACCATGGCAAGAGACAGACAAACCATTGTCATCACCACCTACCACCACCTCTAAGGCTACCCCTGATTTATATCAATTAAATTTTCTCCTGAAAATTATGAAAAGTATGAAATTTTTAACCAAGAGATCAGGTGACTGGGAGTCATGTCAACAGTTCATTAATGGAAACATTTAAGAAAGTAAACTCAGGAGTGCCTGGTTGCTCAGTGGGAAGAGCAAGCCAGTCTGAATTTGAGTTCCATGTTGGGCATAGAGCTTACTTTAAAAAAAAAAAAGTTCATGCACTCTTGGTCCTAAGCTTTCCCCTATAGTAGGTTATCTCCTGTGCCCCCAACTTGGTTTTTCTTCCTTAGATTATGTGAAATGCCCTTTATCCACTCAATATATTTTATTTTCACATAAGCTAGAGAATCAGATTCTGTTTCTCACAACTAAAAACACTTAACTAATATATCAGTATAATGTGTTCTTAACTCCACGGTTAGAGTATTCATTAAGGACAACAGTGATTTTCAAAGTAAGCACAGTAAGGGGAATGTTAAAAACCTGTTCACTCCCCTCCCTACTAAGTAAAGAATTCCACTGATACCATTTGGAATGCCTAGGGGCAGATAAAAAAGTTAAGAACCACTAAATTCTTTAAGTTGCTTTAAAATAATATTAATAGGGAAATGTTTCTATAGAAGATAACACACCATGACTAATCAAAGAAGTCACTTTGGTGTCCATTCAATTCTGTTTCATGTCCTTTCCTCCAAAGCACAAAATCCCTTCATAAGCAAAAGATGCTTTCATGCTGTTTTCCTTCTGCTCCTAAGCTCCCTATTCTTTAGGCAGATTTTTCTGTCTTCATCCTTTTCCTTAGTCACATGGT